AAAAAAAAAAAGTCATACTATAGAAAATGCTGGTTCATGCAGAACCAAACTGTCAGAGCAGGTGATGTTGGCGATTGGAAAAACAGCAAAAATTTAGCATGCAGATGATGCTGCTCCATCATTTGTTTACTCCAAATTGTTGGTATGAAGAAGCCTTTGTTGGCATCCCTTTTCTACCTTCACATGTAATAAATATAAGGTTTTTAAGTTCACAGTTGGAAACTTCTGTAGTGCGAGTTATAATAACTTCTCTGTTGATCTGCTTAGCACACTCACTTAGCTCACATTTCTTTACATTGGCTTCTCCTTTTCTTCACATTTACTTTTGCTGAGGATCCAACTTCTGACAAGACCCAGTAGCATTCTTTCTTCCTGCTCATGACACATTTTCACAGCATTGCTGCTCTCTTCATGCTGCACCCCTCACATGAGTCAGTTTCTCAAAGACACGAATCAGAACAAGTAGCCTCTGTTACGCATCACCCCAGTCTAGACACTAACTCACATTACTTACAGGCTTAACTCCCAGTTGCATTATTACTGGCTCAGTGAAGCGATGGAGACACTGTGGTTGATAGCTGAAGAATTGCAGATCATCGTTTATACATTTTCGTCTTTGCAAATTGCCATTTGGATGAATTCATGGCTCAACTGTAGTGCTGTTGAAAAGGTTGGTTTTAAACACCGGTGATAATTATGAGTCAGTAATCTTTGATCATCGACAGATGTGCTGACGTGCATGCAGGAAGTTGCTGACAGAAGTTTGTCCTGTTTGTTTTAAGATGCATCTCTCTGATAAGATTTATCTTGTCGATCATCTCTTGTTTGATGCGGCGCTTCTGACGGAAGTGAAATTTTTGCTGGAGTGAAAGACAACATCACGCAAGCAGAGACACAAACAATTTACAATAACGCTAAAAGGGGAGAAGGGGAGGGGAACACTTGAATAAGTCAGCCAAATACCTGTCTGGTGCACAGTACACGGAGTCTGCCATGCGAGAACAATAACAGGCTTTGTAACTGATAATTGAGAAATGATTTTGAACTATTTGCACAGTACATAAAAAAGTTATGTTCCACATTTACCACACTCCTTGGGAACAAATCCAACGCTCTGTAGTATATTTAAGTGTTCTCAATAAACTCTACAGGCCACCAAGAACTCTGCAGAATGGGCTTGTTGCAGCTGGTTGCCATATTTGAACATAAAACAGTGAGTTAATTTCACAGACTGACCCTAATCAAAGCACAGGAAGGGTCTGTCTGGATCCGTTCATTATGAAACATTCACATTTATGATGCACATTAATTTGCTGAAGTTCAAGGGCCTGTGGTTGCAGGGTTGGACTGGCTGATGCTTGTTTGGGGTTATTTTTGGAGCAGCAGAATGTGCTGATTTGCAGCTGAATTGCAATTCTAGCGTCATTTTAAGTCAGTTTGAGCCGCTCATTCAGTATCAGCGATAAGCATTCATTCATGTGCACGATGCTGCGGGGCTTGTGCACAGCTTCGCTTCGGTGCAGCAGCCCGGATGGAAGTAGCAGCAGCGGCGGTAGCGGCGGCAGCAGCAGCTCCTCAGTGCGCACGGCTGCGCGTCGCACCGCTCGGCCTGCTGGTTAATATGGAATATCTGCACCGATCCACCGGCCAAAACCGTTTGCACCGGCGGAAAAAAGGAGCCCTGCAGTAGCGCAAATTAGAAAAACAGCTCGTTTCGCCGGTTTCTTTATGGCTTCTGGCTCCGGAGATGAAGAGGGAAACACGGAGGGCGGTTCGTGGAGGCTCATAGGCCCGGCCTCGGAGCTCTCCAAGAAGCGCTGCCGCTTGATGCACTCCTCTCTCGGCTACGACTCTGATGTGTGTCTCTTCTACGTGAAGGGGGACTTCTTTGCCATGGATGCTCGATGTTCACACTCCGGTAAAAAAAAACAAACAAAAAAAAACAAAGCCAGATTGATGCTCGTTCGGCTCAGCGCATGCAGCTGATTGTAACAGTAAACATGTATCCTCTCTGTGGGCGGTTAAAACTGCAGCTTCCATCAACATATGAGCCACTGAGTCATTCTCTGAATAGCACCATGCCCCCTGCTGTCTTCAACGTTGTTATGAAAGCATCACATTTTCCTAGAAGGAGCCTGTGATAGTTTTGGGAAGAAACTTGTTTTGTGTTTGTGAATCCAGGTGGTCCTCTGTGTGAGGGGGACATAGAGGAGGCTGACGGAGTCCTACAAGTCTTCTGTCCCTGGCACGACTATGACTTTGACCTCAGGACTGGGAAGTCAGGGACATCGCTACAGGTCAGTGGTGAACTATGTCCTGCTGGGTTCATTTTATCATCAGTATAGCAGAGTGGCTTTTTATGCTCTGTATAAAAACATTTAAAACATATGATACAGAGAGGTATGTCTCTGCATATAGAGGATGATCAAATCATACCAGACTTCATTCTGGTTCTTTCATAGATTTATTATAGGTGAAATGTAACAAAAATCTGCAGGGTCAAAAATAGACATACAGCATTTAAGATCATGGTTGTATCTTTGACCTCCTCTTGACAAAATTGCTGCTGTTCAACTAAGTTTGTAGGATTTCTGTTTCTTCATCACAGTCCACAGATTCTTGATGAGGTTTAAGTCAGGACTTTAGGAAGAAGACCCCTCTAAATCCTTCATTCTCGCCTGATTTTGCCATTTCTTTACCACTTTTGATGTGTGTTTTGGGTCCAAGTCCCCAACCTTCTGGCTGATGATTTTATTTTTTCATGAAGAATGTGGAGCTAATCCTCCGTCTTCATTATTCTATTTACTTTGCAGCAAAATAGCCACAGAACATGATACTGCCACCACCATGCCTGATGGTAGGTTTGGTATACTTGAGGTTAAAGGCCTCACGTTCTCTCTTCCAAACATATTTCTGGTCATTGTGGCCAAGTAGCTCATTTTTTTTTTGTCTCATCTGACCACAGAACTTTCCTCCAGAAGGCCTTTTCTTTGTCCCTGTGATCAGCAGCAAACTTTAGTCGAGCCTTAAGGTGCTGCTTCTAGAGGAAGGTTCTTGCATAGCAGCCTAACGAAGATGTGAAACACAGTTGACTGTAGACACAACACCTGTGTTTATGAAAGAACCAAAATGCATGCTGGTTTTGTTTTTGGTTTTTTGTGACAAGCTTTAATCATTCAATCATAGAAAATTAAGAGTCGTAGGAATTATTGGAAACTCCCCACCGTCATCCTCTGCTCATAGAAAACTCCCTTCATCATGACTCGGTTTTAGCTTGAGAAAATGTCTTTGTCAGCGTTACACCGTATCACACACAAAAGTCCTCCTTTACAGTTAAAAGTAATTATTCTGCTTTTTAAAAATTAGGACCTACGATAGTTTTCCGTGCAAATGCTCTCTAGTACAGAATTACTAATTAATCATTCTAAAATAGTTCATTCCTTCTAAATACAACTTTTCCAATCATCTGGTGATTTTTATTTTATTTTTTTACAATATAAATCACACAAAAGTAACATATTATAATGCAAATGTTTTCTAGTATCATGCAGCTCTAATTCTGTTGTCATAAAAATTCCACTTTTCACATGACTTCAAACACACCATGAGTTATTTCTACTTCAAGACATTAAGGTGGGATTGTGCCCACACTAGTTCAGGTGATCATGTTTCCTCCAGCTCTTACATTTTTGTGTTTCTGTGTTTTCATTTCTGCAGCAACAAGTGTATGAAGTCAAGCTGGAGGACGGCAAAGTGTACGTGAAGCACCCGAGTCGTCTCTCCTTGCAGCCTTTTCCTGCAGACCAAAAAAGCTGAGCGACCTCGGCTGCCGCTTCCTCGTCCTCCTCCTCCTCCGAGCCCTTTGTGAGACCTGCACACGGCTATTTTTAAGACCTGTTCCACAAACCCAAGCCATCCGAAAACATTCCTAAAGCCTTATCTTTCGTGTTCTCGAGCTGTTTTTTTTTACTTTGATCATTGTGAACTCAGGACCGTATCGAGGAGATTGTCTGAAGAGGACATGACATCATGAAATTGTTTTTCTTGAGTTTTTTCTTGCCTGCATTCCAGATGCAGAGTCATCACTGGCACTGAACGTGGAGACTTTGATAACACACTGGACAGTAGCTAATAGGCAACACAAAAACACAAAATTTGGCAGCATAGAAGTTATTTTCCGATATAATTCCTAAAGCAGTTTTGTTATATATGCAAGCAAATCATTTCTCTTCGGCGAATGCTCACAAATGTCTCTAATCAAAATGTGAAATTATGATTTGCAAAACACAGTCTAGAATAGCTCTTTTGGGGGGGATATCAAGTGCAGCCAGTAATGAAGCCTTTGTGTTTTGCAGACATGGCAGAAGTATTATTTATTACAATATGTGCAAAATGCAGCACTAACCGAGGGAGTTATAAATGCACCCTAAATGGAGTAAAAATTTAACATCATCTTTATGTTGTCACAAGATGCCAATCATTTATTGTGGCATGTTTGTAATTCTGAGAGCCAGACAAACGGGGAATTGGAATAAGCAGCGCAGGTTTCCTTTTTATAAAGCACACATTTGTTTGCAATGACAGTTTCTTTCAAAGACACAACTAAGCTGCACTGTCCCGCGTTCTTGTTCCGATCCACCGATGATGCTTTTCCTATCCTCAACAAACATCACCTGCAGTCCCACAGTGACAGACGGACTTGTTGAGTTGTGGCTTTGGATAAGTTTAAACACTTTATTCCAGTGAAGTCATACAGTAGAAACTCCCTTTGAGTATTTGTCCCTCGACTGTTTTTTAACCCAATTAGAACACACATGAAGGACACTGCGGCTACGATTAGTGGCAGTTCCAGTTCTAAGACGTCCCCATCAGCATTTCTCTCCATTCCTGGACTTTGCACAGACAGGTTTGTCTGCTGCTGACGCAATGGGATTTAAGAGGCACGGTTTGTAAGGCGCCGGAGGAAGGTTCACGACCTGAAATGCACCATTGACTGAAGAAAAATGTGTTTTTCTAGCTCTGTGTGTGTGTGTGTGTGTGTGTGTGTGTGTGTGTGTGTCCGATGCAAGAGTGTTTTCTTTATTCCTTAGTGGCGAGAGCAGTCACTCACTATATTTTCTGTCAACTCCGTTTTCTGGCAGATGCACAGAGGCCAGTCATGAAGGTGTCAATGACAGTGTGGCTCAACACCCTCCGGTTTTCCTCCCTACTGTGCTGCCCGTTGTGCAACTTTATTACAATAATAATTCCACTGGCTAAAAATGTGTTTTGTGTGCACCAGAGGTATTGCTTTGTTGCGTTATGACTCATCACCTGGAGGGTAATGAGCACGCTCAGTGGAGATGTGACTGCTTTGTGTCAGGAGAGAAAAGTCAAAGTAAACATTGTCTGCAACTCTGCAGGAGTGGTTTTTACATTTTTACATGTTGACATGACATCCCTCGAGTCTCCTAAAAACGCTGATGGAAAACAGCGTTCTTGTCAGGTTTTTGTTGTATGTTTCCTAAAGTCTATTTTATATCCTTTGCTAATTTTGATGTATTTTGTCTTTCGCATGTGCATCTGGCCTTTAGGTTGAGGGCAGACTGCGTATGCAACCTATCTGCTGTAAGGTGATTTGTTCGTGGTAAACTTGTGACTTATGCAAAAATTCTGTTTATCTGTACTGTTTAATTCATAAATTATTCTGTTAATGTCGTTGTCATGTGCTTACTCACAGAACAGACTAAGACCCTTTTATTTATTCTGATAAATGTGAATTTGTTCAAACTTTTCTGAGCTTTTAGTGCCTTTAGCACATAATAAATAACAGAAAAGGAAGAAAAAAATCAACCAAAAAGTTTACACAAAATCATTTATTTACAGTTTCTTGTTCGTACAATAATAGCAGATTTAATACAATACACAATTTACACATTAAAAACTTAATTCTGAGAGAAACGAAGCGATGAGCATCACCATGCAATAGTTAGCGCTACAGAGTATTACCAGGAGTTCATTTATGTCATTCTTTTACTACTCAGGGTTGCTTCCTGGGGCACAGTGGCAAATGTACACGTCTCTCCATATACTACAGAAAGTGGTGGAAAGGTTCAAGGATGACCTTCTGAATAAATTACGATCTCCCTGAGACCAGCTGGACTGTGTAGAGAAGAGAAAATGGATTAATCGGTTCATGCTTGAGTTAAAATCGTCGGAGGTTTCTGGCGGAGTTCCGAGACTTTGTGCTTTTCTGCTTTAAAGTCAAATAGTGCCGGTAAGCGTTACTGTGACAGAGAGGCAAAATCAGGTCAAGTATTTTGAAAAGAAATCAGCTTCACAGATTCCTTTTTCAAATTTCAGTCGGCACAAAACACCTCAAATGTAGCCAACAGGTCTAACAGGATGGAAAGTACCCAAGAAAATAACCATCTTTCAAGCACAAGACTCACTCAGTTCAGTACAACTGTACCAGAAGCAAACTGTAGCCATAAAAGATTAGTTCCACATATTGGGAAATATGCTTTTTCACGTTCTTGCCAAGAGTTAGGATATGAGAATACTAATGCCGCTCTTATATTTGTAAGGCAATTATATACAGCCGTAAGAGAAACACCTCAATTAGCTGTGTCCAACCAACTTTGCACAAAAGCACCTTTATATGTATGTTTTGTTCATTTAATTTGTGCAAACATTAAGGTGTAAAAAAGAAAAAGACTCATCCTTAACAGTCAGGAATCAAAGTTCTATTGATCTTTCCATCAAACAAAAAAGCAAGAAAGCATTTTCTTTTGTAGCATATTTTCCAAAAAGTTGAACTATTCATTTAAAAGTGTCAAACAGAAACACATTAAGCCCCATTAAAGCCATATTTGTGATGCTACCTTTAAAAAAGATGCTACTACTACTACTACTGCCCTTCCCACAGAAATTCAATGAGATAAACATTTTCTTTTCCATTAGAATTTAATCTTTGCAATGTGTTTTATCTGTTCTGGCTGAAACTTGTCTCTTTTTCTTTTGATTTTAAAGACTTTGGAAACTTTTTTTTTTTTTTAAGTCATTAAACCAAACATCTCTGAGGTTCTTTAATCTCCTTTGAAGTTCCCCAAAGACAAAGTAACTGTTTGGAGAGCGCAGCCTGCTTTCCCATGCAAAGCCTTACATAATGCTTTACTCAGGCTATTATTGTTACCTTGTCCTTCAGACTCCACTGATAACTTCTCCTCATGAATAAGTCAATTCTCCTGTCAAAGCATTCTAGGAAGAAAACCTGCATTCTTCCATGTGCAACCACTTTGAAAGCCCAAGATTCTCTAAGTGATGGACTGTGAAGCCAAAGACCGCTAATATTTTCCCTTTCCTTTTACCAAACACTCCAAAATGATTAAATCCATCACAAGATAATCTTGCTTTTCTTTCTCCTGATGTCTTTGGTCTAACATTTCCTTCAGTTCCTTACATCTGTTGGGCCTCCTCAGCTGACCTCATACGCTCGCGCATTTTTTATAGGACTTATCTCTTCCTACACCTGGAGTCGATCATCGTCTTTCTTACGGGGTGGATGCTGCAAATGCTGCCGGGAGATGTTTGTTTTTTGTCTGGAGATCTGAAGTGTACAGTCTTGGACAGCGCACAGGCCTGTGATTAGAAAGGTCAGTGATAATGGTGAAGGTGCCGCAGACTGTCACTCTATATTTCTTTGTTTTTGGAGCGTTCTGCATTCTATGTACAAGTGTGGGGGGTACAATGTGTGGTTTTCATTTACACATGACTATCTGTTGCACGTTAGAAACAAAAACGCAACAAAGCATAAGTGGACTGATCTGAAAACATCTCCAAAAGTTAACTGTACCATGATATCTGAGTAGCATTTTGATGGTAAATATGTGAGACCACAATACTCTTCGGCCCAATATATTGCTAGTTCCTTAAGTTCAATCTTTGTTTTCTTGTAAACTTTGACTCTTTGCAAAAGTCAGGATCAAACAGCCCAGGAAAGAATATGTAAATTGCTTTCTAATTAGCAGCAGGCTTATATTTACTTGTCAGGCTCTCCTGGTTTCCCCAAGGACCTCAGTGCCCCTTATCTGGATTCGGATTATTTCAGCTTGAAGAGTTTTTTCCCATGGGCCCACAAGAGCCAGTGTTACAGATAAATATGTTTGGGGGCTTCTATCGTAAAGTGAACTTTTGGCCTATTACTGACTTCAGTTCAAATAGTCGTATATTGTCCCTCACTCTGTCACATGGATAGGATTTATAGAAACCTGGCCAGTAAATCCAGAAATGTGTTTCTTCTTAATTCTTACAGGAAAGAATTATGCAGTTTGTTTCATTAACGGAAAAAAAGTCTCTGCTGAGAGTTCTAAGCCCTGTAATAAGATTGCACTCCGAAGCTAAAAAAGATTATTGTGATGTACAAATTGTAAAAATTGGCTGAGTCATGCAGCAAAGTATGAAAATGTTAATAAACTTAGAGTGAAAGAACGATTACATAGCAGAATTATTTGCTGAAAAATCACATAAAATATGTGCAAGATCTTGTAAAAAAACACCTTAGCCACACTGCCTGCGTCATATACTGAAGGAGTTTTTTGTTTCACTCAACCAGCAGTGCTTTTCATGATAGTTATGCTGGATTTTACTGATTCTCAAGTTTAATTCTAGTTATTGCACGTCGAGATACAAAGGCAGCCTGCAAGCACACCACCCAACAACTAAAACAAAGTTCGTTTAGACCCTGAAAGAGTGTCTTGCTGAGAAACTGAAATACTGTGTTTGTTTTGAGTAACGTTTTGTTTGGTGATGTGCGACTTTGGAATGTGCAGGAGGAAAAAAAAGGGGAAATTATGTCATACCTCTCAATCAATTATCTTTTTTTTTAGACTGCCTGCTGGTCGTGAGATCCCTGTTTGTCTTGGCGACAACTTCGGTCTTGCACATTTTAAGTAGGTGTGGAAGGACGTTTGACTGAATCACAGTTGGCAGCAAGACATGTCAATAAAAAAACATTGAGAAAGCTTGACTGAAAACATCCTCTGTTCCCTGGGTGGCATGCCTCAGCCCACTGTCTCTTTTTAGAGTGCCTCTCTTTGGTGTAGAGAGTTTCCCACTTTGTAGAAAAAGGGCTCAGTGTCTGCTGTGGACAACAAGGACCTCGTGTTGGTTTCTTTCTGATCTTGAGGAAAAATATGAGTTCAGTGGAAAGCAATGGCCAATTATGAAGTGTTTGGGGCTTACCATAGTATTTACAGTTTTTGGAACGTTTGGTTTCTACTCAAGCATTGAAAGTTGTCAGCAAAAAACACCCACAATGGGCAAAGTGGAATGTTACAAATGAGCTCTATAAAAGTTACAATCTCAGCTGTCAATTTAGTGTGTTCATTCATAAAATTACACCAAAGCCAATTAAATAAATGCCAGTCACTGAGTTAAAGACAAATGATGCTTGTCTTTTTAGGAGGGAAGAAAGACGTTAATATACCGAACCCTTCAAGTAAGCATCACACTAATGAATATCTTCAATCATGCTGGATGATTTTGCTGAATTGCTGTCTGTCTTGGTTTTGTGATTTTCATAGTCTAGAGGGAATTCACACTCATCAACAGACAGACAACTTTTACTTTGCGGAATAGATGCCATCACATCAGCTTCAACTGAAGACCTAGAAATGAAAAGGAAAGAAAATGTAAATCATTCAGGTTTTACTGTCAGTGTAAGTACAGATCAGCATTTTTATATCGTATCTACACCTACTTTTTGGCACCTCTACTGGCGTTGCTGTGCACGTGTGGACATTCTCCTCCTGGTTGTGGAGCTAACTCTGCGACTCTGGGTCCTGCCCTGCTGCTCGGAAGGATAAGCCACCACCTGGGTGGATGATCTCTGCACCTGCAGACCCTCCAACTCCCTCATGTCCCTCGCCATCTGAGACAACGTCTGCCCTGGGTTGGTCTGCAGACGCTGGAAAAGGCTCTCCCTGTTAATTTTCCTCTCTGGACAACTGAAGGTCAGTGCCACTCCTGAGTCCGACTTCATCTCTCTGGAGAAACCGTCAGAGGTGCCATCAAAGCAGCGCCCGATAGCAATCTCTTTGGCAACTCTGGGGTTCTGGTCTGTGACTGTGTAGATGCCATAGTTGTGTCCCAGAGGATCAACAGGTGCTAGCATGGTGAAGGCATGGGACTCGTTGTTCTGAGCGACTGGTGGATGTTTAATGAGATACTCTTGCAGGAGGCTGTTGGTGTTGATCTTGCGACAGTTCCCCTGTGGAAGGATGGATATGAGGGATCTGTCTACCTCAGCTTGATCAAACAACATGCCACTGCATTTGAACTCCACACAGGCTGCTGAAGTGTTTGCCTCTCGCATGTCCCGGGTGCTGCGTATGTCTCTGATGCCATAAAGTTTGTCCTTGGTCTCTGGGTGTGTTCCTCCAAGGTTCCTTGACCTGACCATCACTTCCTTCTGCCCATGAATCTTGACCTTGATAAAGCACGCTCTGAACTCCTGGGGGTTGGGCCACCAGGAGAGGTAGTCTCCTGTCCAGGTCGTCAAATCGTTCTCCTCAAAGGGGACAACGTTGTATTCATACTTGTCCTTTTCTACTCGGAAAAATCTAAAATGATTTGCATCAACGGGGGCATTTTCGCAAGCTATTAAATTCTGGTATGGGTATATTGGCCCATTGGTCTCATCAAGATTGTTTTGGTTAGGCTTTGCCAGGTTGATTTTGAAGGCTGTTTTCTTCAGAGCTGGATCCTCGTGGTCTGAACGCTGGTAGTCTATTTTATCTAGATAGGGCTGAGACACTCCGATGATGTTTGGATTCATCTTTGGGGATGAAGGAGCCGCCTCCAGCTCTTCCCCACCCATCATTGCTGTGACATAAGCTGTGTAAGCGTCGGGCCTCTGGGCATCACAGAAAGCTGGTAAACAGGCTCCGTTGGGCCCAGTTATGACACTGTCAAAGCGGCCCCATGCCCTGGGATTAGAGGAATAACCAGGCTTTGGTTCCAGGTTTATCAAGCTGATCACAACACCCTCCAGCTGCTCACTAGGTAAGAACTTGTCACTCATGTAGGCACGGACTTTGACATAGCAGCGTCTGCTTTCAGGCACATCTAAATTGAACAGTCTTCGTTCTCTGATCTCCATGTTGCCAATGAGGAACGTGCGCTCCTCACGCTTGCTCCGCCCATGACCACCAGAAGTCGTTGTGTTGTAGGAGAAGTTGCTCTCCTCTTCCCAGACTCCTGTGTCCGGGTTTAAAGACCACAGTTTCATTATGGGAATGTGCTCTTGCATTTTAACATGTTGTGTGTCGAGGAGAACCTGGACTGCTCCAGCGCCAAGAACTTCCTTGTTGGTCTCATCTCTGAAGTCCACAGAGAACATCCCATAGGTCCTCAGAGGGAGCATGTCACCCTCATCATCCACAAAGTTGAGATCACCAGGCGTTGCAGCTGCCGTTGTGATGTTTCTTGGGTCAATAAATGTGACGCTGGCTTTCACTGTCCCCTCATAGATTTCTCCATTATCTTTGTGGAAGGAATTGGGAGGGATCACCAACTGCCCTATGGGGTCTTCCCCTTTTATTTCTCCAAGGTTTATAGAATTGGTCTCTCCCGCATCGATATCAATTGGTTTCTGCTTTCTCATTACTTTCACGTCATGATAGATGGATCCACCTTTCCTGTCAAAGATGAACACCTTCGGAGTGTCAAGAAACTTCTCAGTAGGGTCAACAAAATTTACCACTAACCTCTGTGTGTCAGGAGTAATTTGTAACGTGAAGCCTCCTTGGTATCCGGTGGTGCCCACTCTCTCTTTACCAATGTAGATGTGCCCAAACCGCAGTGGCTCACCATTGTCAGCTGTGACCACTCTACCTCGAACCAGCAGCGTCGGCTCCACACACTTCTGACAACTGCACTGTGTCACAGCCCGAATGGGGAGGCTATAGCTACCGCAGTCAATGACTCGACTTTCCATATTTTGCACCCCACAGCAGAATCCAGTTCCATCTCTGCAGCGCATGTCAAAGTCAAGGGAACCAGCACATTTGTTGTGAGGGCAGCGGCCAGCGTTGTAGTACTTGGAGTCAGTCCCGGGTTGAACACAGTCCATCGGTACTCTGATGAGGTGCGTCTCAGGGGTAGAATTACATGCTGGTGTTCCTTTGGCTGTGAATTAGAGAATAAATTATGTTCAGCTAGTGTTGATACAACGTATGTAAAATACAAATTATCATAAATGTCATCTGATGTACATAAAACATGAAAGGTTACTTTTTTTCCTCAGTGCAGAAAAAACATTGCACAATTTACTGCTACGAAGTACCATTTTGACACTGCTTTAGTTTTATAAAGACTTCCATGTTGAAAACGTACGTACTTAAACTTTGTTTTCTCTGAGATACCTCGTCTTGAAAGTCTACCAAATCTAATACACTATAAATTTTTAAAATTCAAGTAACTGGAAAGAATATTGAGTAAATTATCATCTGAATATACAGTCTTTAAAAAGTACTATTTATGCCTTTCTTTTTCAAACATGGATGCACACACACATATGATGTATGTATACATATATATATATACACACACAAGTATATGCACACGCACGCACACACACACACACACACACTGTCTGCATGGCATAAAAGTGAATGTGACTGGCCAAGTTGGAATGCTGTGTGACATGGTAATTTGGCATGAGGTTGAAGAGAACATTTATTTACCGAACATCCAACTGGGAACTGGAAAAAAGAGACTGATTATTCAGGCAGACATTGGCAGTGCAATTAATGTGTAAGATTTCATGTACTTGTAGTAGAGTATCCTTATTAAGCTCCCATATCCCAAGTAAGTTGACAGTTGCATTCACATGGAGAAGTGTGATTTATATAAAATATAATTATTACATTACAGATGGCTTTAACATCAGTTACCTTTGAAAATAAATCACATAACTTCTTGCTGCCTTTATAAACTATATGAACACTTTCAATCAGTCAAATTAACCTTCTGCACTTTGGAAAATGGAAAACAAAGTGTTTGGCCGAGGAAATAAGGAGTTTGTCGTCCTGCTCTGAGGTGCAGGTGTTGCTCTGCTCACATGCAGTGTCTCCTGTCATAATGACATTTGGAGTTCAGGGGTTCGTCTGTGGCCTGGGATAGATTGCTTTAGCACTGTTCCATGAAAACCCAGTTTGTTAATCTGTGTGCTAACTAACAAGCACCTGGAGAATATAAGGAATAAGTAGCCCTCCCACACGGATGTGGAAACGCATGCTTGTCTGACTTCTAAGAGAGAAGAGAAACAGAATTTATTGACAAGCTTGAGTTTCGTCTCAACGCCGGGTGTTCTGGAGAACTTGGGTGTGAGGTTTTACAGTGTCCAGAGCCTTCGCACACGATGAAGAATCCCTAGCCGTAGCTTCAACCAATGTAAACACAATAAAAGCGTATTCCAGATCGTAAGCGTTCCGATATTTTTATTTTCCTCTGACAGATAGTCTGTTAGCTGACTTTTCTCTCTCTGTCAGCTGTAGGACGCTGTGGTTTTGTTTGAGTCCTTTTAATGCACGCTCATGGATCACTTGGTTGGAGCACTGACATTCCTCTTAAATTGTGTATTCAATCTCCGAGACAGCTGCTCTTTATACGAGAAAATGAATTGCGGTTGTTTGCTTTTTGTCAGTGGTTATACTTGAACCTGTGGAAGGCTTTGACTAAATACGTCACTGTCAGATCTACTGGGATAGCAGCCATCCTGAGCTATAATCCCCGTGTGCTGCTTGCTGTCATTTTAGTAAATTATTTTCTCTCAAGGTTGACGAAGATGAATTACAGGTTACTAGAACTTTACTTTTTGACTCAATAATAAACTTAGATCTAAAAGAAAACTGGTATACATCATATTTTCACCCTTTTTGCTATGAAATCTTACACTATACATACCAATAACGGTAAGGACGGCTGCAGATGACTTGATGCTGCCTACAGGGCTGCTGGTTTTGCAGTAATACTGTCCCGACTGCTCTGGTTTCAGATCCCGCAGCACAAGATCCTCTTCATACTTGTACACTTTCCTGTCCAGCAGAGTCCCATTGTGGTACCTTGAGAAACAGTTATAGAAATGAAGAAACAATGGACACAAAAAAAAGTTATTTGACTAGTTTGTAGTGGTAAAACAACACTATGTAAAATACATAATGTGTGTAAAATTGTAGTAGCACCACTTTTGTGGTGACAAATCTAGCTGAAAAAACAAGTTCAAGCTTAAAGTTGCATTAATTAATTATATTTACAATGCACCAAATGATTGCATGCAATGTTAATGTAATGATGAAGGTTCAGAGGATTATCCCCTGACTCTGACTTTCCTGATGCTCCTCAGAGCATTTTAGAGTCTTTCAGCTCATTGCTTTGGTTTTATTGACCTGTAACTCTACTTTTTTGGTCAGTTCCAGTTGTACATTGCAGCTTATTTCTGTGCAAAAGCTTTGATAAACCTGCTGCACATTGTCTGCTCTGCATCACACAGCAATGCGGGGTTAGCTAAAGGTATTTGCCTCAAGGCCCAGTGGAGACCAAAGCAGAAATATGTGTAACAGATTGATGCATTTTTACGATAACATTTCTTCTTCCATATGTACTTTTCATTTGATAAGTGAAAAAAAATGATTCTTGGAAAATCCAAAATGTCCATTTCATACTATGGAAAAGTAGTACTCCAGATTTTGTGGGTGTTAGACTGGAATTAATGAAGTGCCAGTACTGGTGTCTGCCTCACCAGTAGTATTTGTCAGGTGCTGGTGAACCCGTTGCCTTGCAGCACAACAGCACCCGTCCTCCCTCATAGCGCACTTTGTCCTCTGGGTGCTTCACAATGTATGGCTTCTCTGTGGACAGCAAAAAAAGGAGTATATCTTCAAGACTTTACTCTGATTGTTGTGAATGGTACCGCAGGGTAAAGAGAGCTCATAAAACTCACTCAGACGTTACATTTTATTCTCACATTGGTCCCTGTGCTTATGAAAAACGATTGCTGAGGGAATTACGCTTTCAAAAGCAGCACAGGTCTATTTTTATTTGGTTTCTATGCAACCAAGTAAGTGCTCGAGAAAGTCTTACAATAGTCCAGACTGTTTATGTTGTCGTGTTGTCAATTCCCTGTTTTCAACAGGCTGAGAACATGATCGAAGGAATTACTGAGTCTGAGGAATCGTAATGAGACTCCGGATACATTTTCCTATAATAATACCTACTTTTAGAAACAATGCTTAATAACGTTCATTTATCTGCACTCACCAGCTGATCTGAGGACGGCCTGTAACCACGACAACCCTGTGGTGTTACTGGAGGTGGAGACAGTGATCGGCACAAACTTCTCCTTCCTGATGGAGATCAGAGTCGAGCTGGAGGAGCAGATTCCTGCCAGCCTGAAGTGACCGCTGGCATCAGTACGGGCACGAATGACCTTCGGATGGCTGGCCAGAGCCACCGATGCTCCCACCACGGGGACACCGGTCACAGTGTGGACGTCTCCATGCAGCACGTGGCCTTCGCAGACACAGCGGCTGCAGTCCTCACTGGGACGGCCTTCAGAGCAGACACGCTGGCATTTCACTGATGTAAAGAACGTAGATGTGGCTGATGAAGACAACTAAATAAGGAAATGCTTGTAGTATTGGTATATGTAGGATACATCAAAAAGTTCTCAGCTTCACCAAAAAACAATTAACTGGTGAAAGATTGTTCTTGCATAATTTTTTTTTTTACATAGTCTCCTTTAACTTTAAATACACGATGTTCAAACTTCGCTATTCCTTTATGAAAGTAAATCACGAGCCTCCAGATACTCCTCAACAGTATGCATGACCTTATCATCACTCGGAAATCACAAGTGTGATTTCAGTTTGGGAAACAGAAGTCAGATGGTGGAGGTGAATAAGGTGCATGGAGCAACAGCTCAGAGCCACATTTGGCTGCTTCTGCCATCTGTGCTGTGTGGATGGTTGTATTGTCCTCAAAGCTTTTCTCTCCTTTCGCTTTCGATTGCTCCAAACAGTTGAGTTTTTTTGTAGACAATGATATAATACTTTACTGTATGCAATTATTCCCCAAATGGGAGTTGCGCCCCCTCGTTTTCAGGTGAGGCCTGAGAACTTTTTGAATTACCCTCCAACAGTGTGACTTTGCATACCTGGGCATGGGCTCTTTCCACACTTCTGTATTTCAACAGCTCGTCCCCTACAATGGACTGTCACTGAGGTTCTCACACAGGTTCTCCTCCTAATTCTGCGTCCACCACCACAGGTCACCGAACACGAACCCCAGCGGCCCCACGGACTCCACTTGGCTAATCACACAAAGACGCACAGCAAATGTGAGTTTAAACAACATATCTGTATTTACTGTCAATTTCATGTGTGCATATGCTTACATACAACTGCACCTTGTGTGTACTTTTTGCACTACTTTAAGCCTTTAAATGTTTGTAAATGTTGAGCAATTTGCAATAAGTGCAGCATCAGTTACACTGTTATTATAGTGTTCTTAATAAACCAAATAAGCTCTCCTGACAACATTAAGCTATACCACTGTTTTTACTGGCCATGCCCGTACATACAATTTTTTACTATATTTTTATATTTTACATTTGCACCGTTCTCACTGCACTTTAAAAAAAATAAAAATTAAAAGCTGTTGTCTGATTGTGTAAACTGACAGGATTGCAGCGTAATTTAGTGTACGTTCTGTTGTATTTAGGTGCAGTTATATTGTATTGGGATTGTAACCACCACACTGTGGGTATTAAAACTAAAGACAAAAACAAAACTATGCTATGTCAAAATCTTTACCACAACTAAAGCATTGCATAGAGCAGTTTCAGCCGTCCTAATGGTATACTGGAAAATTTGGTTCAAGCTTAAATGTCAACTTATTTAATTTCACTTCATTTAATGTCACTCGTAAATGTCATTGCATTTCATTCACAAGGGTAAATTTAATGAATTTAGCTGTGTAAGTGAATATAGTATTTCATTAATCTCCCTTTTAACTGCTCTTATGAAGGGTCAAGTACTGAACAATGACCTCCAGCTGTAAGGAATTCAGCAATAAAAAGAAGGAAATTATGAATCACTTTGCTGATTAAAATAGTTTCATTCAGTTTAGCTTTAAGGTCCGTAGTCACTAACTAAGTTACAGAACTGGGATGAATTAGCAGCTGATGGATTCTGGGATGCTCACCTGTACATGGAGGGTTGGAGCACTCCCTTCTCTCTGAATGGTGCCCCTGACATGCTGGCACCAGCAGAAGGGGCATGGGCTGAGTGCTCACACATTTCCTCTGGCGGACCTGGATGCCGACGTCGTCGCAAACCGTGGTTGAACAGGGACCCCATTCACTCCAGTCAGTCCAGTAGCTCTGCACTGAACACGAAAGACAAGAGCGTCACATCTCAATCTTGGAACAAACAGCAAACAGTAAACAGCTAAGAGGCATTCTTGACACCTCGCTGTGGAGAGGGCGCATTTGGGAAAAGGTTTGCATGAATATTCATATTCGTGAAGTGACAGTTTGAGCTGCTGTCATCAGCGATACCTGGGGGACACTGAAAGCGGACGTGGTAGTTGGAGCAGATGCGACCTTGTGGCTGTTCCTTGTTGATGCACCAGAAGCCCTTTTCCAGGCTGGAGTGAACCACCTCCCCGGTTTCTGCCGCTGCCACCCAGTCTGTGGTGCGAGCCTCCATGGCTGTAGGCCGCGCACAGACTCGCTCCCTGTAATAGAAACGAATGGCTTCCAGGCGCTCGTAGTCTCCATTCCCCCCGGGATGGTCGATATTGAACCAAGACGTCCACTCAGTCACACCTGGAGTCGAGACGTGGACGGAAACCAAAAGACGAAGAAAACAGTTCAGCTGAGGATCCAGAAATGTTGACTTTACTGCAGGTGTAGCTGGTCTTACATGGAGGGGAAATGTGGTCAAGAATCAAAAAAAGGCAAGAAAGGAGGAAAACAGCAGGGATGAGTTACAAAGCTTCAGAGGTCTGCAACTACCATTTGAAACTGACTTCATACACCCCAGGGAGCTTTGCATTGTCCAGGCTCTTTCCGAGCCCCTGGCCTGACTGATGAGGCATATTGTCTAGTTTTTAAGTCTGCAACATGTTCCGAATCCTGAGCAGTTGCCTCGGGAGAAATACGAGGAATTAAAAATAAAAGGAATCCATTTGCAGCACACTGACGGCGTATTTTTCATTCACGAGGTAATGCATTGCTTCACTCTAAAAGTCTTTAGCTGAAATCAGGTAGCACAGAGGTGATGGAGCGAACATGTGTTGCAGACTAATACAGGTACTTTTTGTTCGGTTAGAAAAGTGGTTGTTTAATCAAAACCTTGTGGTTTTTAAACCCAAGATGACAAGATTCCTAATTCTACACACAGGATGCTGGCTTAGATGAAGTTACCTATTAAATTTCATGTTTCTGTGTCACTGGTATTTGGCTTAAAGTTAGATTGAATGGTGAAAAGACGTCTTGGCTTTCTGTTTCTTGTACTGGAAGGTCTTCTTAGTGTGGCAATCGATATGTATAGTAGCTTTCTGGAGCTGCTGTAATCATTCTGACATACACTATAGAGGTGGACACATCTTCACAATATACAATCCTTTACATTACCTTAAACTCAGCTTCACTTCAGTTTAAGCAGCTACAGTTTCCCAAACATGGGAGCCTTAGGGGATGAATAAAAATATTATGTTGCCATGGAGTGATTTAGTTTGCAGGAGGCTGCTTTGAAGCTCACATTTGTCCAGATTTTGGCAAGCTGGCATGATAAAGGTACAAAATCAGCTCTTGGGGTATCCTGTTTGGGGTCTAGCCATGGATTTCTGGACAATGATCACTGTGATACTTAAGAAAACTTCAAAAACACAATGATTCTCTGGCAAGTCATAAGGATAATGTTATGTTCTAGATTTATGGATTTTTATTTTGGATGGAAATTCTAGATAATATCCTCAATCTCTGGGAGGATACGATACACTGAATGTGAACATGTGAGTGGGCTGTTTTGTCTCTGTGTTTAGAGTTGTGTGAGTTACGACTCTGAGAAGGAGCACAACTTTTTGATGCAAATTGCTGCTGTCGGGCATTAAATGTTTTACCTTGACTGTCCATAAAGCGCGAGTCTCCCGCTGTTCAATCATGTTGACAAGCCTGCTAAATCAGCGAATCAAACCACAATAACTAACTTTACTGTTGCTTTTTACAACAACTGGCAGGGACTCGGCATGCACCTGCCCCCTTTTCACCTGATGCTAAAACTCTCACAAGTCTGAAAAACCCCCTGGCTCTGAGTCGGATCTGGATCTCACTGCTGGATTCGGTACCTGTTGTCTGAGGGTCGGTAAACGTGTTGAGGGCCACTCTTCTGCTCTGGTCTGACTGGCTCCTGGTCCACTGATATCCTGCACAAAAAACATAAGAAAAACATCTTTGTCCTTCAGTTTACATTCTCGAATTTATGCATTTGTCTCCTCGTTCTAGGGTTTAAGTGATAGGGGATGGTTTCTGTGTTGTGTGCATGTGTGGGTGGTATTATTTCAAAATATGTAGGATTAATCAAAATTTTTGCTTAATTTCTGCACATAATACATGTGTGCGTGTCTGTGTGCCTTTTCTGACAGTTCTCCAACTTATTCCAATATTTATATGCAAATACACCCACACTCACCCACGATAATGCAATCTAAGCACGTTTTGCTCTCTTCAAGGCTAGAAGGCTCCGTTAATTACATGCACTTTACTTACTGTTCTCTAATTTTTTTTCACTTAGTCGTATACTATTTTCTTTTGAAGTGCTTAAACAACAAGCAGGGTTTTGTAGCTGTTTAAAAAAAAGGAAGAAAATGGCAAGAAATTGAATATTGTGTTCCTTGTCCTCCCTTCTCGTAATGCAAGCTTTCATCTGTCTCTATCTAGCACTCCTCTTTCTCCCCGCATTTCCCCTCTCCTCCATCTAGATCTTCTCTTTTCCTTTAAACATCCTTCCCATCTATCATGCTTCCTGCGCTTCTTGTCACAAGGATTTTCATTCTTTAGCTCTCGCCGTCCTCCTCTTGTCCTCCCCTCTCCCCTCCATCCATCATCAACAAGCAGCCGCTGGTGAGGATGCTAATCAAGCTCCAGCTGAGACAAATCAGTGGACAAGCCAGAAAAGTTCACTTTGACTTTCTCCTTCACCCCTCTCACTAACAAATAGCAATTTCATGCTGAGGTTTTTTTTATTTTAATGATATATGATTGTACAGTAATGTATACACGTTGCATGCCTTTGTCATCGAGTAATCCTTACATCATTTTTCACGCACGTGTTCACACACACAATGGCGAGTGTAAGATGAAAGCGAACGTTGCCTTATTAGAAAGAGAAAGATATTGAATCTGGCGCTCGTTGAAACTCTTTGATTTATGAAATGCGCGCCGTGACATTTTCCCCCGTGCTTTCATGTGTAATGATTCATTTTCCTACAGTACTAATTTTTTATGTTTTCAAAAATGTCAGTTGTTTGCTTGACATTTCTCGGAGTTTCACTTGCGCCAAGCGGAAAAAATTAATGTCATGGACCGTGACAGAAACAAAAAGTAGCTTATGTAGCTTTGGTGTGTGTGTGTGTGTGTGTGTGTGTGTGTGTGTGTGTGTGTGTGTGCAATATGCACAAGTACTTAGAGTTTTTAGAGACACTGCTGAGTTTACGAGCAGAGACTCCCAGCACAGAGACCAGTATCGATCCCAGTCCCCGCTGGTTTTTACAGCTCACTTCAAGTCTTTATTGTCATGCCAGCACATTTCTTTTCAACCCCAAACCCTCTCTTCTTTTTTTTTGGTAAGATTTAGCAAAAGAAGGATAGTAGCCCAACAGAACAAAGATCAACTGTCCAAAAATGTATTACATAAGTTTTATGGTAACATAGAAAGCTGACCTTCATGGTTGTTGACTTTTTATGCGTCAGGTTTTAAAAACCATTGATAGGCTTCCATATCGGTTTTTGTCTCTCTGATACATTGGAATGGCTTGATATACAGAAGCAAATGCTTTCGCAATGATCTGCTGAGCAGATGTGGCTCGGCCTGCAGACTTAGTTTAGTAAATCAAGTCAAATAGTTTTTCCACCATTCTCCTTTTGTCTCCCGAGTTATGTGTCTGTCCTGATTACATCTTTAAAGCGGTTAAAACGGAGTTTTTCTGCTACTGGATCTGTGTCGTTACTGCACTTAATTACACATTCTACAAAGTGCATGCTCTGTTATTCCCTCTGGCAACCTATAGGTTCGAGTGCACAAACAAGCCTTTTGTTTCACTTAATTTACATTGATTTTGGTCTGTTAATTACCCCTCCCAGTCTATAGTGCATCCATTTATTTCCAAGAAACCCGAAAGCAGCATTTCTGCTCTTGTTACATAACAGTTTTTCTCCCTCTCACACCAAAACAAAGGGAATTCACAGCAGAACGTTTGGCTCCCGATTATCATTTCAAGATGTCCGATCATGAAAACGAAAGAGCGAGCGATTCTTTGAGTTTTATGGGGTGACTAATGGTTTTAGAAAGTTAAAAGAGGAAACCCAGATTAGTTGCAGCAGAAGGCAAATTGTTGGGGTAGTGACCTCAGTTATGGCAGGTATGAACTGGCTCGACTCCCACCCGAACTCACAGAGCTTATTGTACTTTTTGAGTGGCATGTTAACACTTTATGAATTTTAAAAGCTGGGGGGATTTTATTGGGGCACCGCTTCATGCGGCTGGTATGTGAGCGAATTTACCTCATCAAGGGGCGAGTAACACACGTTTTTCGAGCCAAAAGGAGCAAGGTCAGAGCTTATGATTTCCTCTTTACTGTTCAAAAAAATCCACCCTAAAGTGACTCACTGGTACAGTATATCTTGTTCATTCTTGCCCATGTGCTCTTTGTTTGTTTGGTTTTGTGCTTCGTAAAGAGAAATTTCTTTATAATTTCAACTTTTTTTACAGCAACCCATAAAGTAATGCACGTTGATGGTCTGTGCACATTTGTCTGAGCCGTTCCAATCCATGGAAACCACTCCTTAAAATTCTGTCTCTTTAGGTTACTTGGATGGGTTTTGGGGGGATTATCATGGTTTTGGTTCAAATGGGAGGCTGTCCTCCCAAGAACAACAGCATTAATCATTTCAAAATGACATATGTTCACGCTCAAGTGACAAAGTCCTCCAGCGGCCCATATTTTCTTAGCCCACCTCACCGTGACCCTCGTATACCATGAACAAGGTAACAAGATACAATAGAGTCCACCAATATATTAGGCTAGAGTTCCACATATAGCCACACAGCAAGCTCCTGAATGTCAGATATTTTTTCTGAAACGGAGCTATTGCATTACCTTTCATTCAGCACTGCTTTCATTGTCATCTACACCCACCATGAGTCTGCTGTGACAACTGCATATCTTATTTTAGAGAACTAGCTTTGGATTTAAAGATTTACATCACAGCGGTTCATTCTGAAATGCAGCCACTGTGCTTACGGCCCGGCTGCACAAAGGCAAATCTTCTAATAATAAGCACTGGTGCCTTTTCAAAGGACGGCCTTTCTCTCTCTCTCTCCTTCACTTTCTAAGTGAGAGTTTTCTGCCTTTTCCAAAACCTAATAAAAAAAGCTGCCGAACAGAGGAACGGGGGGAAAATGCAGAACTTTATGAAGTTGTACCCAGAATGGTTTCAGTCATATTAGGGAGGTATGGCTGTGCCAGATGTATGTTGGCAGACAGAGGAGACTTAAATAGAAGGTCTGGATCCTGTTTATAACATCCCAGATCCTTACAAGAAGGAGAAGACGTGAAAACACCAGCCCCCCTCCCCATATTACATAACCTATTAGACGAAGCAAAGCTCGCTGAGGGAGTGAGGTTGTACGGGATTTGCTAATGTAGTGTCTACTTAAGAGCAAGACCAGGGGTGTGAGCTGAAGCATCTATGCTTGAATGTAGCTCAAACACAGGTATTTCATGTATGAACTGTGAGATGCATGCATGTGTGAGTGAGTGTGTGTGTGTGGGCCTGTGTATGTGATGATCCATTTGCCATGTCATATGGAAGCTGTTTATGTGTTTGGCCGGCTTCTTAGTTGAGGTGTGTGTGGTTTCGGAGGAGTCTGCTCTTTCTCTTAGTGTCTATCTCTCGCTCTCTTTACGCTGACATTCCTTTTTCTCAAGAATCGGTCTGAGCTCTAAAACATCTGTAGCTCCTTAAAATCAGCGATCTCGTCCCTGACATTAAACTAATGATGCAAATCAACCTTGTGATTTAAGGATTTGCAAAAGTATAACGGAGGATTTGTGTTCTTAAAATAAGGCATTTTAGGAACACAACATTGTCCCCCCCCCACCACCCACAACCGATGCTATTAAAAACAGTTGGGCAGCTTTGAATTTCCGCATTAAAAATATCTGGAAGTCCTGGCTTGAACCTCTGCACCTGTGCACAGGTACAGAGCCAAAGGGCTGGAAATAGCTCGATTGAAAGCAGCTGATTAGTCCTGCAATAAATAATTTCTTGGCACATCCACGTACACAGAGAGCAGAAATGAAAAGAAAGACGTGATATGGCTAGGAGGTTGTCATTAATGGGAATTTGTGCCTTTTCCCTTGATCCATAGTAATCCCTGTCTCAGTCATTGAAGTCAGCTGGCCAGACAGCTCTGTGTTTGGAGCAGACAGTGGTCAGCATCTGGAGAACTAGGCCCCGAGTCTGAGTCCAGCTGCACACATACACCAACTATTCAGCCTGAAAATTATGCAGGGAAGAGAAGAGAAGGGTGGAAGATTTATGCTAAGAGCTGGTAATACCACAGTGCTCTCCTCTGGGTTACAGTGGGCATTCGGGGCGACAGCTGCCACCTTCAAATAGGAAAGCAGCTCATAAATCGGTGCGCTCAAAGGTGTGTTGGAGAGACTGACAGAGAACAAGGCGAGGGGAGAGCTTTTTTGATGGAACGGGGCAAAGAGAGAAATAGGTGGAGAAAGGTGAAGGAGGGAGTTTGATGGAGGGAGGCAGAGACAGAAGGGAGAAAGGTGGGGAAAGTATTTGCGAAGAAATACCTGAAGGGAGACATGATTAGAAACAAAAGGCGAGCAGATGAAGACGAATGAACAGATGGAGACGTACAGTCATTACTCTGGTGGTGGACTGAATGCAGCAAAAGGGGGGGCGGGTGAGATGGTCAGCGAAAAGGGAAAAGGAAAGAGTGACATGCTGGCCAATTTGACAGGGGGGGAAAAAAAAGAAAAAAGAGGACGGTAAAGTCATTTTACCTGTGCTCCTTTTTATTCCATTTTCTCATTTAGCCAAGCACAAACCCAGCAGGTGGAAAAGTGGGCCGCTCGCTTTGTGATTGTTGCACCTTGTTTCCAAGGTGACTGGGTTTATATCTTTAGGGACCACTGCCACTGTGTTGGAGGGTGAAATAAGGACAAAATGCACCACCCTACCGCAAGACGTGGATGCACGCTAAAGGAGCGTGGCATCAGACGTAAAAATGTTACAATCCGTTTTAAGATTGGAGTGTTCCGTTCAGTCAGTATACATTTACTGTCCTTGTGATATACTCATCAGGCAAATGGCACAAAGCCTCTGCAAGAAATTTACGACCCCGAGGCCTCGCGGGCCCAACAAGATATGGAGACTATTAAGGTGTATTCGCGACCATTTACTTTTATGAACTGCCAGCTCCGTTACTTTCACCAAAAAAAAGCTAATGTGAAGCAGCTGCAAGGCGGACGGAAAGTGACAGCTTTGGAAAAAGTGCTGCCTCTGGTGTCATTCAGGAAGAGTGGCGAGCTTTCAAAGGATGATAAGGGTGAAATTTTTGAGGGGGAAGAAGTTGCACAGCTGACACTTCACCAACAGTAAAGTCAAAATGAGAAAACTAGTGTTAAAAAAAAATAAAAGTGTGCTCAAACTGGCTCTTTGTCAAATCATAAAAGCAGCGCGGCGAGACACGTTTTTTTTTTTTTCCACGGCGCAGGCCTTCTGTTTGCTGATAGTGGCGGCTACTGTTGTGCAGCCTGTGGATTATGAAAATAAAGTAGGTGCCAACAGAACCTTTAGGCGCTAACAGTACTTCCACTGTCGTCAAAAGAGCTTTTTCTGCGGTTAAACTGCACTACAGGGAGAGTGGATTTTATGACCTTCTTCTGTCTCCACGTGTTGTTGATCATCCTGGTGGTGAAACGTTCTAACATTAAAGAGATAACATCCAGAGCAAAGTCATGTTTCCATTGATTTACACTTATTCCCTGAAGACTACATTACCCGCTCCTTGTCTAAATCTAACCCTAGTCTACCTTCACCTGAAAATTAAACGAATCATATTTCAGGGACTATCATAGGTTTCTATCCTTAAAAGGAAAGCAGGTCAGATTTATGTCCCCACAACATGAGTAGTTCAAGCACACACAAACATGCGCGACTACTCTTATCATATGAGCTCACCTCCAGACATTTGTCTAAGTCCTGCTCCTTTGGGAAATGCCGTCAACTTAGAAAACTCTACTGTCAGTTGTACTGCACATGTGCGAGCAGCCATAAACTGGCCCTCTGTTCTTATGTGATTACAAGAAACGACAAGGGAGATGAAAAATCACTCAGCTCTGTACAAGATTCATCTTAAAATTGGCTGTTCACTTTTGTTGCTGGGAAAATCTACAGCTTCACAGCAGTTTCCTGTGATTGTGTTGTCCTGGCAACCTTTTTTTACTCAATAATAGTAACAGTTGTGTCATCAGTCTTCACTTACCTTGGCCCAGAGCCACCGAGGCCAGGAAAGACAGCAGGAGCGCCACCTTATTTAATTCCAACATTGTGCTCTCAGTTACAGAGGATTTTTTTTTTTTTGGTTTGTTTCTTTTCCTCTGATCTTCTACAGCATTGAGACAAACTAAAGAAAAGAAAGAAGAAGGAAAAAAAGCGGTCGGTTCTTGAGCTCTCTTCGGTTCCTCAGGTGTGAGTGATGCTGCCGAGTCTCGCCTCTGCTCCCTCTCATGTGAGTCGAGCTGCTGAGTTGGAGACAGGAGCTTTTTAAAAGAGGGGGCATCAGGAGTGCACACCAATCCAGCCCCTCTCTCCTCACCATTGGCCAGTGAAATGTAACATCTGGGTCCCCCATATCATCGTCCAAAAAAAGGTGAGGGTACGGGTGGGGGTGGAGAGACACGCATGCAGGGGGAAGGAGGGGAAGTGTGTGCTTGTAGCTGTGGTTACTGAAAATAACAGGGTGTTTTCCTATCCTTCCAAGCAGACTCTCATAATTTCTGACTTATTTACAACATTATTTTAATTTTTTCTGCCTCTTTGTAACCCTCTTTTGCTCCAGTGTAGTTATATTCAACCACAGAGCAGGTGTGTGCCTCCATGTTTCCATTTTTAAATCTCTCTTTCGGTTACCGTGACAGTATTTCAAAACACCAAAATGCTCTTTCAAACACTTTCACATTTTGTCTCCTGTGACTTTTTTTTCTAAAGTTCAAAACATGGGAAGCCACTCTGAAACATTAGGGGTTGTTTTTCATTCACGACTATACCTCAAGATTCTATTAACTGTTTATTCAGTGTTAAACATGCGAAGCCATTTCTAATGATCTCCTGTAAACTGTTGTGTCCCTTCACCGGCCCCCCCCCCTTCGGTCTTTCTCTGTCTCGCTCTGCGTTTCCGTCTCCCCAACAGACACAGGACAGTGCCAGATGCTGCGCTCCCTCTAGGTTCAACTTCTGGTTCAGTTTTGTAACTTTTTAACAGTTGCTGATTGCAGGGTGATGCACTGCCAAAGAGTGGAAGTGGCGTCATATGGCATGCCATTCAGGAAAAAAGTCCTCGGAACGCAGACACGAGACGTGCTTATGAGGTGCAATGTACTCGGACTCATTTGCAGCATGTGAATTGTTACTATTTAGTGACGGCGCTTGTAAAAAGCCATGGAAATTAAAAACACTAATTGCATTCAGCTCTTTTATTACTCCCTCTTGGTTCTAAATTCAAAATGAAGGTGTTAAGCAGCAACTTTTAGAAGAATGACTTTCAAGATAAGTGCTGTTTTGAAAAGACACCCTGAGCTCATTGTTTCTGTCTCGATTAAGTTAAGGTAAATGGTCAGTTCGTTGGTGGAAAGGAAATGACTAAATTTGAACTGCATTTAGGTTTAATTTTGAGGTATTTGTATGTCATTTGCGTTGCAGTTTCTTGCTTCTTTGTTCATTTTGGAGATAAATCGTTTATTTTTACTGCATGAGATTAATCTCATAGATCTCATTTCAGGTTAGTTTCCAGATTAATATATTACACACATGAAAAATTATATAAAATACAACACATTGTGAAAGATTAACCAACCTTTATGGCTTGTGACCCATTCCACAAACTGAACAGAGTCTGCTGGAGACCCTTATTAAGATTAAAATGTCAGATAAGGTGTTCACAGTTTCACTAAACAATTATTAATACCGATGTGCATCAGAATTTAGCTTTTCCATCTTTCCTCCTTCATTAAACATTTCTTGGCTCCTTAGATTCATCACGTCCCTTTGGAGTCCAAAGTTGGGAACCAGCAGAATGACGCCCAAGCGGACCACATTCCAGTACAAGTCGGAAAACAAAGATGGACGCCTCATGGAAAACCTTTTTTTTTCAGGTTAGTCTCGTTTAACATGTCCACGGATAGAAGTTGGAAGGTACTTTGTGTACGCCTGATTTATGAAGACACAAATAAAACCAAAGTAGTAATAAACAGTGTATTAATACAGCTTTCACTGCTGTTGAGCACCTGTCTGGGTTTTTTGATATCAGGACTGGTGAGGTTGTTCCAACTTTCCAAATCGGAAATCTGACTACAGGGGGCGTTCAAGCTGAAATGTCTGACAGTTTAAATGCAATACCATATTACCTGTACTGTATATCAAGTAGTAACTCCATCTAAACCAAGCACAGCGGTAAAATCCTACCCACACACTGATGCAGCAATTTAACAATGTCATAAATAATCATGTAAAATAATAATATATCTGCCATAGAGGCCTTTTTACTGCAGAAAAAGGACTTCAGTTTTTTATGGTTTTGGTGTTGGGGCAGTCTTCTGATAACACTGTCTTTTTACTTATGCAGATTTAACTATTGTACCTCTAACAGGGAGTGTGTGTGTGTGTGTGTGTGTGTGTGTGTGTGTGTGTGTGTGTGTGTGTGTGTGTGTGTGTGCTGTTCATTACTCAGCCTCCTCTCAGGCTGCTGTTGCACAACAAATTTGCTTGAACATTTCCCTGATTACAGCCTGGAGGTCGAACAGTGNTATTGTTCACAAGCAGCTCAAACAATGATCAAGCCATATAAGATATTGTATAATCACGCAAATACATTTTGGATATATGTTTGGATCCTTGTTTTGATCATTACCATTAAATTTACTCATATACTACATTTAAGTGCACCATAACTGCACACAGCCCAGTCTCCAGCTCCTCAGTGACACAATGAAGTCTCTTGGGTTGTATTGGAAATCCTAAGAAGCCCTTTTTAAAAACACAAATATGAATATTTTAATGAATCTTACATGAACTCTTCTATGTTGTCTTGTCTGTATTTTGCTGCTTGCCTGCAGGTATTTGTATGTAGCCACACAATAGATAAAACATTTCTGCAGTTTGCCCCTTTTCAACAAATAAACCAAAGTCCCTCGTCTCCACTGTGTTTGTTTCATCTCAAACTACCGCAGAGATGGTCCATTTCACCATGTTTGTATAACTCTTGAGCTGAAAACCACTGAGCTGCTGCTGTTCCCGCCTCCCTAAGGAAGAAAACTCTCTGCGGTTACCTTAATTGAGCTTGATGACTATTGTTAGTTGGGTTTAACACAGGACATGGGTCGAATTCTCACTCACAAAGCTAAAAGAGTACCTAGCAGTGGGGCGACTTGAGGAATGGCAAAAGTAAACCTCCAAGTTTATAACAACCACACAACGCTGTTAAAATGGATTTTCACCATGTGGGACCTTTAAATGCCTGCAGTGATCAAACATGGAAAGCAGATAAGCCAGGCTCTTAAAATATGTTTTGAATTTGAACATTGCAGTGATTTTCTTTCCTTAAAACTACTATTTATCATAATGAAAAAGCTCTGGAAAACTTTCCATGGCACTGAGACAGGACAGCGAGATCCTGTAGATAGTTAGCAGCTTTAGGATCTGTTCATTTATAAGCAATTTATTAATCTCTCTGCCTCAGGTCTGCTTTTTGTCGCTGATTCTGCTAAATCTTTTGACCGCATTTCTATTCCGTGTCTGACTATCTCTCACTGGATATTACAACAAGTGCTGCTGTCAGTTATGATTGTTCAATTCTGCGGGCCACCGGCGACTCCAAAGCTCATTACTCAGCTGCGCCCATGAAAAGCACAAATGACAGTGTGGCGACAAGTCATTGTTTCCTGACAGCGATTGGACAGGCATGAAAGACAGGACTGCTGAAAGCGCAGACATATTTCTACAACCCTTGTCAGTTCGCCTCTGACAGATTTAATACCACCGAGCAAAGAAACGGATCAACATTCCTTTTCACTGACTTTCTACACCCACTCACATATGTGCGCACACACTGGGCATTAGCGCATTAGCATGCAGAAGAAGCTCCTGTGCTTTGTATAAATACACATTACCTCATCCGTAAACAGTACAGCAGCTTAGTCGCTCTCATCCAGGCCTGCAGCCCTGAGCTCAGTAATGAGAAGCCTTCCTCCACAGCTGATTATAGCTCCATCACACCTGTTTATGGCTTTCACTACCAAATCAAATCCAGTTGGGGACCAGGAAACAGATGTAAGAGCGTGCGCTTATTTTAGAAGCCCAGCCTTAATTGCATGTGATGTGCACATTACGCAGCTAGGTGGTCTGGTGATTAGTGACCATCATTTAACAGAACAGGTTGTCTTTAAAGCCTGTTTTGGCAAACGGTTATCCTGGCACTTGACGGCGCTATTCTTACTTCAGCTTTGAAGATCAAAGAAATAATAAAGCTAAATTGTTGACAGAACGCATATATGAGCTGGAAGAGTATCGGAGGATGTATGTTTATCTGTGTTTCTTTACAGCCACCTTTATTTAGTTCTTTTGGCCACATGTGGCAGTGAAACAAGCTGAAAACATAAATTTATCACCACATAAAGGTTGGTATGTTAGCAAATAGTTGCCTGTTTATGCACCCTGAAGACGCAGAACATGGGAGATTAGTTGGAGTCAAGTCTCTAAATACCTGATGGATTCAAATCCAATATTCTCACTCCTTGTAGCTCTGTTTTTGGTCTCCACCCTCTTGTGAGAAGGCAGCTAAATCGCAGATCTTTTCCACTGAAAAGAACTGCCTGCTGCAGCTGAAAACATGGTTAATGAGGGCAGATTGCAGACGAGGAAAACCAGAAAAATGATGATGGAAACTGTAGAGTTGACTGGAGGTTCTCAGTGGATTTCTCACTGTGAGTGACCTCCTTTAACATTACACAATTACTCAATCCATTGCTGATATAAAATATTAATCAGTGGAGCTTTAATCATTTGCATCTCTAATATTTTAAGGTTTTTTTGTAAATTTTTTGTTATTCCCATCATCAGTGCTGCTTTAAGTGAAGAAAAAAAAACACTAGAAACTGGACATTTTCTTGAAATTGAACTTTTCTTTAATTGGACAACAATAATTCTCTGGGCTTTTTGTAAAAGCAAATGAGGTAACTAAAACAAAAAATAATCCAGCAGTGCAGGCTGACCAAAGAAAGCAAAAGACATGTAAACATAAAAATGTCAACCTACACCAACTCATCTCAGCAGCACACTTCGGTAGAAAGGTAAACACAAGAACATATGGGCATCAGAACGTTCAAAAAACAAAAAGAAAAAAAAAAAAAAAGATTCCAGTGACTGGTGTCATAAAAAATTCCTCCTTCTTTGCTGACTCTGGAAAAAGAAGCTTCTTTTGCAAAGTAATCAGAACACAGTGTAATGCTACAGCTTGTACAAGTAGACTGACACAAAACTCCTCATGCCATTCCCTAAAAAGACATGACTCAAACCACAGAATCTAAATATTATCCTTTTACTGTAGCTCAACAGCACATTTGGTTAAGGTGTATCCTGGTCTACACAATTGAGATGTTGACATTAAATCACATTAACAATCTATAAAATACAAAACAAGAGAATAGATCGACCATACATTGTGAAAATGAGGTGTGGCCACACTGGCTCTCATGATTCCATGTGTTACAATTCAATGAGACAGTCTGTGCCAGGGTAGTCTGGGAGGTTAAGCTCATATTTTTTCTGGATGTCATAGGGCAGGAAACGTCCAGCCAAGAAATGCTTCCCCGAGAAACTCATGGCGCACTTCTTTGGTGCTGTAAGTGAAATGAGAACTTCTGGGTTTATCCCCTCCTGACTTGGTTCTTCTACATCCCAACCTGAGGCAGAGGGAAAGAGGTATTTATGGAGAGCACCATTGTGATAATTTTGTGTTTTCAGCAGGTAATGTATGTGGAGTATGATGGATTCACACTGAGCTGACTGTAGCATAAGATTTATCCTCCATGTGTGCCTCCAGACTTGGAAAACTCCTCTCAGTGAGCCAAGGCTCCTAGGCAGCTGCCTGGAGGCTCATTTATCATGTTGTGTTTTGTGGGCCTCATGTCTGATATCTACAGTTTGTACCAACACTTACCTGAGGGCACATCCACACTGGCAATAGGAACCTTGATTTGCTTCAAAGTGACCAGAATACCAGAGTAGGGTTCCTTAATGTTGGCACAGTCTGCATCTGGACCCAGCATTGCATCGATCACTAGGTTGTAGGCATCGTTTATGAGCTGCACCTGAACAGAACACACCTCAGAATGAATAAAATGAAGAGTTTGCTTTCTTGACCGCTGGAATCAGGGGGTTCCCGGTCACAGTGAAGGTAGAGGCCCCTGCAGTGGCTCAGTCAGGAGGTAATTATACAGCCCAACTTCACAAAGCACACATTTCCCTAAACAACCTTTACAGTCTGTAAACCTTCTGTCTTTGGACCCACATATACGGTCGTTCTTCAGAAAGTTCTCGGCCTCACCAGAAAAGCTTCCCAATCCCTTCACTGAAGAAGGTCACATCTTAAGCCTCCAGATATTCCTCAGCAGCATGCATGACCTCATCATGACTCTGAAAATGGCGACCACACAAGTAGGATTTCCGTTTGGAAAACAGACAGAAGTCAGAGGCTGCAGGTCGCCCCATGAACCAGTAAGGGTCATGGGGTGACAGTTTAAAGCCACTTCGGCTGCTTCTGCCATCTGTGCTGTGTGGACGGGCACGTTGTCCTGTAGCAACAGCAGCCAGCTTGAAGGTTTCCTCTCCTTTTTTTTTGATAGCTACAAACATTTAGATTTTTTGTGGGCAGTGACATAAGGCATTATAGTGTATAGATATGCCCCCCAAATGGGAACTACACCCCTTGCTTCTGGGTAAGGCCAAGAACTTCTTAAAGTACTGTCTTATATACCCACTGATCAGCCACAACATTAAAACCACCTTTTTGATCATGCTGCCAACAACTGTTCGGATTTGCCAGAGTATGGACACAGGACTTCTGGGGCTCTTGGTTGTGTTCCTTGAGCCATTCCAGAGCAGTTTTTTTGCAGTGTGGCAGGAAACATTATCCTGCTGGTGGAGGCCGCTGCCATCAGAGAGTGACATTTCCAGGTGTGCAGCAACGTTTGGGTGCATAGTACTTGTGAAAGTAGCATCCACTAGAATGGCAAGATCCAGGGTTTCACAGGGTTTTGATTATTTTTGGTGATTGTATGATTGTTTTGGTTATCTAAGCTCATCTGAAAAGCCGCATCATAAACACTGGTTCATTTTAAAGTAGACACAAAGCATAAAGGTAGAGGAGCACTGACTTTCATAGAGTTAAATGAGAAGAGAGATACTTCTCTTTCATTTCTACCCATTAGGCTACATCTCGCAGCCAATTAGCCTCTCTTAGCATAAAGGTTGTAACCAAGGGCAGACAATTAGTTTGACACTTTTGAAAGGTAACAAAGAGCAAAACACCAGTTAGGCAGTTACCAGGCATCCAACAGAGACTCCAGGAAGTCCAACCCAAGAAATAGGCAAGTACAAGAACCCTTTTTAAAAAGCAAATAATGGTATTTACACTTTGGTTTTGGTACATATTAAACTAAGAATAGGATTAGTTAACTTTAGAGGTGCAGGTAAATGGATTGTGTTACCTTTGCACAGATGCCCTGCAGGAACTAAAGTACAGTTTTGAATGTGGTATCATTCTGAAGCAAAGCACATCTCTCAAAACCACTCCTTTAATCAAGGCTACAGTGTGTAGGTTTATCAAACTTTACAGCAAGTAAAATGAACATTTCATTAAATTTGTCATGGTGTAAAAAACGCTGCTGACCTCTGTAGGGAGATAGGAGAGGAAGGGGATGTCCATCTTTTCACACTGAACTGTGAAATCCTGGTGTAGACTGTGAGAGGAGCGTTTGGGGTGGTAGATGGTGGGCTCGTATTCCTGCGTCGGATGAGGCAACAGAGGAAAACAACAGAGGAGGCAAAGAAGAAGAGAGAAGCACAAACACAGAGAAAAGGTTATCTAATGTCAAGATTCAAGTCAGCGGCTTCAGCCAACACTTACGTAACGCAGTGCGGATAATCCGTCAATGTACATTCGGCTTCCAGTTCATGGCAAGTGAAAAAACTGGTGATCAGCAGTTGCGGTTTCTGCAGTCTACTTCCCTTATAAGCTGGAAGCTGAGAAGAGTAGAAATCCAGACCCCTGCAGTCTGAAAGGCCTGTGATGCTCAGCAGGAAGCACCTGTGATCCGTGACCTTTACATACTCACAAAGATAAATCTTAAAACCCGGGACTGGCGGTCAATACTGTGAGTGTGTGCTTGCATGTTTGATCGTGTCCGTTCGTCTTTTTCTCAAAAACGTGGTCTTTGATAAGTATGTTTACAGAGATAGCATATTGTACATACATTTAAAGGGCCAGTTCATCTAAATTATGCTCTTCTCATGTACCCGCAGTGCTACTCTAAGATAGCCATCCATCTCAATACACTGGAGATATGAGGAATTTGCTGTTGAACTGCACAGAGCGTATTACATATCGTGTTGCATTATTGACAATTTAATATGTCAAATACACTGCAAAAAGAGAAATATTAGACCAGCTTAAATTACTATATTAACTGTTTTAATTGTTACAACAGGTTCTAATTAAATTTGTCTAAATTAAGCCAACAAGTTATAGCGATGCAGCTGGTTCAAGTTAATGTATATAAATAAAGCATTGCTGCAACGTCATTTTATGGAAACTCAATATCCATCCATTATCTATATACCGCTTAATCCTCACTAGGGTCATGGGGGGCTGGAGCCTATCCCAGCTGAATTAGGGTGAAGGCAGGGGACACCCTGGACAGGTCAGCAGTCTATCACAGGGCTACACTTAGAGACAGACAACCAAGCACACTCACATTCACACCTGGACAATTTAGAATCACCAAATAACCTCAATATGCACGGGGAGAACATGCAACTCCAGAAAGATCCCGTGTGTCCTCACCAAGACGCGAACCGTCGACCTTCTTGCTGTGAGGCAACAGTGCTAACCACTGATCCACCTTGCAGCCCAGAAACTCAACATGAAGTTTCCAATTTTTCCAACTTAATCATTTGCTTTACCCAAATGTAAAATGTGAATTATAATTTTTTCATTAGGCTTGCCATTCTTTTCCATTTCTACACTGAAGATTCATTCAAAACTTTACTTTATTTCAATTACAACTTCAACTATACTATCATATGTAAAATTCTATTACTCGCAGGAACCGTGACTGTACTCCTATTGTACTTTGACTTTCATATTAATTTCATACATTTTTGATGATACTTTCACTTTACTGAAGCAGGATTTTAAATGTACTTTGATATGCGGTAGATTTGTGCATTTTTTTAAGCTCTGTGCTTTTTATTTTGATATAAATTGTGTTTTTTCACAACAAGGTTTAATCATTAAATGTGTATGATGTATTTTTAATTGTTTATGTATATATACGTAGCTGTTTAAATGGGTTATTCCACTTCTTAGAAAGCAAATACATCAAGCAAACACAGAAACAGTATAGTTAGATCCCTGAGGTGCTGCAACTTTATTAAAATATATTTTAACAAACCATACTTGGGAAGAAAAACACACATCATCAATAAATTGTGAACTATATTTTAGAATATTTCATGAAGACTGAGATGAATTTCCCCCCAAATACCTTTCAGTTCCCTATAACTCAAAAGACAGCCTGAAAATGCATCGTTATCACATGACGGAAGGAACAAAAAACAGCATGTTTTTTTCAAATGTGTCTCAGCAGTAGCTGCTCTACAAGGAAGGAAGCGATCTGTCAGGTCAGCTGTCTTCTCAGCGATCCTAAACCAATCAAATGGTCGATCTCCGACGTCATCTCCACCGTGATCTTCACAGAGCGCAGAGACGAGCTGAATGCCATCCACTGTGTGCAGCTCCCCTGAGGGTAAACCGTGGCCCCTTCGTGCCCTTGACCTCATCAGCAGTTACGCCACCAAAATGTGCGAAACTAGGGAAGAGCTCGAAATGACTGTCAGCATCACTGAGCGTGAACAGAAATGAGCCATGAGACAGAAACAAGCAACAAGGGCAAAGAAAGGCTCTTTTCTCCAGTTAGCGCTCTAACAGGGTTACACTTCCTCTCCCAGCGGGATAACAGTGTCCTGTAGTATTCTGTTTTTATAAACAGCCCATTAAGCACCAAGGGATGAGGTCTGCTGCACATAGTTAAGACTTTTAAATCTTTAACTGGAGAAACAAGTAACATTTTGACATACGGGGAGTTTACAACATGCTTTAAAATGCTGCTGAGGTATAAAATAGCGGTGCATGTGAGCTATAACATGACTAACATCATAAAGTTTGAATGCAGTGATTGTCTATGGAGCACATCGGCCAGCCAAACCTGACATCATCTCCACTCGTTTTAATACGAACAGCGCACCGGAACTAATGACCATAGTTGCTGTTTTTTATTCTCGTTCAACATAAGCTTTGATCAAAGAATATTTGTATCATCCGGTATGTTCTCCTCCATACCTCGCACTGGAAATAATCAAATATGAACGACACGCAACCCACTTTTGTGAACACGGACATCTCGGAGTGACTCGAGAAGGAAATTGTTTCGCCTGCAGCTGATCATTCGTTTCTATGCTCTGTCTAATCACATTCACGGCTCAGGATCAGGGGCTCGAGGCCACGCATGCATGTGTGTGTATGTGTTCGCCCGTTAAACCGTGTGTCTCACGTGTATCCTTGCATGTCGTCCTGCTGACAGGGATCACATCACACCATGAAAAACATACGCTATGAAAGCCGTTCGTCGTCCAAAGTAAGTATTCATGTTTCTGAAGTTAGAGCAAACTCAGACCAGCGTCGGTCCCAGTCGGCCCGGTGTAGCGTGGAGTCGCTTTAAAAATAATAATAGTAAAAACTTTTATTTATGAAGCACATTTCAGTGTGTTTTTTTTTCCCCCCACGATATGTGAAAAACACACAAGAAATCACAGATGCAGAAGGTAAACACATTAGAGATAAAAAATACCAAAAAAATGTTTTTAGAAAGGCACAAAATATCAGACACACATTAGAAGAGAGAATCAGTGTCCACCTGTGTAATTTAAAAACATATTTGTTCAGGTTAAGTTATGTAACAGCTACTTATTCATTTCTGGAATTCCAGGGTGAAATATATCTCCCTCAAAGCTGACCTCTGACCTCATTCTTGGCCTTGAGAATGAAAAGACAGAGTGGGAGAGAGAGCCTCCGCACAGAGCCACCGGGCTGCTTAAATAAAGCCTGTCTAACATGGTTTTAATCAGAACTATCAATGTGCTGTAAATCTGGTACGTCAGACACATATGGTAAAGTGTATAGATGCATTCCATTCTAAGCCAAAGATCCCAAAACACATATCCGATATTTCCCTTCCAATAAAGTCGTAGACTGGGGCAGCCGCGAATGAAAAAGACACTGAGATCTGTTTGTATGCGGCCTGAGATGCAGATATCATGATCATGACATCACATCGCGGCGGGAGAGAGGCGATGTTCAGGACGGCTTTAACGAGAGTAACAATAGCATGATATCATGACTGTCTGAGGGCCCTTGCAGAGATGGTAATGGGATAACTGCCCTGAGCAGTTTACAGAAGCTAAAATAAAATTCTGTAAAGCACCGAGGGCCCGTATATGGGAACCCCTGTTAGTCATGACACAATTTAACGTCTGCGAGATGATTTTTTTCTAATTGTCTGAATGACTCAGTAATTACCAGACTATGTTTAATAGCTGCTAATTTATCATGTTGTTGCATAAGGTAGGCATTCACTCTTAGCCTGATGTGCTCTCTCGGCTACTTACAAACATGCGCAGGTGTCGGGCGCAGACCAGGCCGATGGAGCCATTCTGGTCAGGACCACAGATCACCAGCACTGTTGGCTGCTTCTTTGCTAGAGAGCTGAGAGGGTAGGCCTGGTGGAGAGACAAAAACAATGGAGTTAGAAACAGATCTAAGCGGATGGCTGACGCAAACATGGATGAGAAAATAGAACTGGTTATTGATAGAGAACAATGGCGAGAGGCAGGGGAAGATAGAGCGTGGGCGATATTCAGCATTATCCCTCCAATTTGAGCTTCTTATTCGGTGCCGGTCATCCGATCTGGACCTCAGTCTCTCCATCATAGTCTGAGTGCCTGGCTGCTGCATGCCGCGGATGCCAGACGAGGGTGGAAATGGCACTGGCTCCACTGTCTCTTCCGTCTATGAGAAAAGGTCCAATCTCATTAAAATAACCCTGGCAGCAGTGGAAAAAATACCAGTGTCCTCACCATGGGATGCTTCCGTATATATAACACACTTTCCGTCTAAGTCGCGAGCCGCTGGCATCCGTCTCGTTTACTGGCTGCACAGTCCCTTGTAAATCACCCTGCACCTTCTTAAACCGGACAGGTATTCGCCTGCAGAACTGTCAACCTGAGTGGCTAATCTTCCATCTCCAACACCTAAACAGAAGGACTACTGAAAGCCCCAAAGGCGTCTGGCTTCATTTTCCACAGATTCCAAAAAAGCGCCAAATTCACTGCCGCATGACGGATTGTTAGCTGATGCTTTTTGGGGGCATTTTTACACCGTATAAGAACAACGGTTCATCACTGCAAAGGTCACAGCAGAATTCTATGAACTAGAAGAAGAACCTGAGCTCATGCAGAAGTCCTGTCCAATTACAACACGATAAATGTGTCAGAAGACAACTTGTTAGCCCAATTAGCCCAGTTTAATCACGGCCATAAATAGTCTGCGACTGCGGTTCACGGTAACGCTTTAGATCACAACCCACAAATTGTTAGTCGCGGCATTTTGTAATTACTGGGCACCTAAAAATGACATGTGTGTATTAATAGAACAAAACAAATAAAATTAAAGGGCAACATTCTTTATATACATTGGGGACTGACTCATGTAACTATTTTTAACTTAAGAGGATGTTCTGGTAAAATAATTACAGGCTACTGGGACGCAGTTATGGCTGACCCGATGAATATAAAGTGTTGGCCTGTTAAACCTATACATATGAATTACCCCCTCTAATAAGTATTGGTTTTGTCTTACCATAAGTATAGTTCTGTACCTTTTGATGAATAGGCTCCTCATTTTTGTGTTTTCCTCTGTACCTTGTAATTATTTCAGAAGATTCCTGCCATTCAAAAAATAGTTAAACCATAATTTGCAAGCTGTTACCCCTTTATTACAAGAATTTTTGGCCTGTGTAACTGTTTTATTGTACCCAGTAATTATTTACAGTTATTACGTGTGTGCACAGGGATTACAAAATAATGACACTTTAATTCCCAGGCTTTGATATAAAGTGACATGTTATTGAAATTAGAAGTTTTTGTGCCGGTTCTCAATCATCGACGGCCGATCTCGGGCCTCCAAATGTTGAGCTCGAAATAGGCCAAAATTCTTCCACTGTGCATAAAATCCATTTAGTTCCACTTTCGCTAATGTATTCACTGCAGGAGAAAGTTCATACGGAGAAATAGGCCGTTATCCACGTCGGATAATTGGATATAACAAGACTCAGAGCGCATTAACAAGAGCGATGAATCCAGGAGAAGAGACAGCGGCCGTTATCTCCATCATAACAGCTCAGCGGAGAAATTATCACACGGGCTCAATGAGATGGAGGAGACGATGTTATGGCTGCCGAGGGCCACGGGGCTGGAGGTAATATTGAAGAAAGAAGGTAGTGATTGATGGGAGAAGGCTAGACTGAAGAGCAGGAGGGAGACTTTCATTGTTATAAGTAATAAGACTGAAGCTTTACCTGAGTTTCACACATTTGTGAATATGTGGCATTAAGTCAAGCTTTTACTGCAACCAGCTGTTGAAGACTAAACATCTCCGAATGTACTGTCTCCCTGCTGCAGCCTCACACATATACAGAAGGTGTTGGTAGACTCAACAAATAATTGAAAATATGAAAGAAGCAGAGGACTCAAGGCTGCACCGATCAACATTTTTATCTGAAAGGGGTTCCTTCAGGGGATGAACCCACGGAGAATTTCAATCCACCTCTGCAGCATCGCTCACACAAACCCAATGTGTCTTGGTTTGTTTTGGATCATTGCATTGGTTTTTGGGCCCAAAACTCTGCTTTCTCTCAGCATTTTCCCAGTCACAGCAGGCAGCTATTTTCAGCAAAGCTTCTCTGATAAACCCACTGTTTACTATGTGCTCAATGTCAACTGTCAGACAGACAAAGTTAACAGGCTGCACATAAAGTCAGTGTAGCATTTATGGAGGCAAAGTTATTTTTCTTCAGAGCTTGTGAAACACTAAGCAGAGCTAAAAAGAGAGTCAAGGTGGTCGGAAACACAAGAAGTTAAAGCTGACGTTGCTTTGTAACTGATGGAGGCAACACTTTGATCACTTTGCTGCCACCAGTGGCCCAAATATATAATAACGCAGCTTTAATTTAAACATATTTCTCCGTGTTGTGTTCATTTGAACTCTCTCTTTCTGCGTTTCTATCTGCTTTCACATACGCAAATTCACACGAGAAGGCTCAATGACCTTCTGTGTAAATGTTGAGGACCATCAGGAGGATCGAAGCCGGTTGTTGTTGCTGGAGAAACCATTAGAGCTGCCGAAGGTGAGCAGCTATAAAAGGATCAGGCCCCTTCAGTTCACGCAAACGTCTGATACATTATGAGGCATTTGCGCAAGAGAGAAGAGATGCTTGATGCTCTAATACGTATCTATTGAAAACAGTCATTTATTCCGATATTGCGCCTTCAAATGGATCAGTGAGTAAGTGAAAGCAATTAGCAACAAGATAGAGAGCATTTCCTAATGGGGTCTTAGCGAGTGTCATTGTGCTTTTTTTTATTATTATTTGTTTGTTTTTTAATAAAAAATGAGGCACTGTCAGGGCAATCATCACATTAATATTAAATTTCACAGCTACTTTAATCCTCATTAAATGCAACTTGCGAGTATGACCCAATTTCCGAAGTGTTTTTGATGAATTTTGCATGGATTTATAGCCAGAAGTGATGATTGCTTCACTTGTGTCTTAAATCAAGTGAAATATCTCGGTACAAGGCCACGGTACGCTTTATTCTGAAATAAGGTCATTGTTTCGAGCAGTTCAAACTACCTCTGCAACAAATTTGATATAGAAAAACAAGGTTTTATGAGGTAATAAATTTGTTCAGATGTTCTCCAGTGTGCGAGATATTTACGATATTTCTGATGTGTCTGAGGTTTCTACAAGAGCAGACAGGTGGTTTCGTTGCATCTGTGCAGCAGGTTTGCGATCTGGTTGCTTCGTTTTTAACTCTCGTATGCCGCTTTATTTTCCGTGAAAGCTGACGGTGTAATGATTCAGACACTTATGTGCATTTAAAATATTTTGTAAATTATCAGTAACTTTTTTATTGCGAACATTTTTAGAGCATGAACGTAAGTGCAAACTCGAGGAAGGGCCCCAGTCAGAGGAAAGATCGTGAGAGTCTAGACCAGAGCGCCGTTACAACCTCCGACACACACTTACTGTAGAAAATATGTCAGTCTTGATTGTAATAACGTCTCAGTGGGGATACCTTTTTGAAGTAAATGCTAAAGACACATGAGCTTTCACCTCCAATCAACCTGAAACGTACACTGAGCCTGAGAAAACATTGTCAGGGTCCTAAGAACACAAATATATTCACATAAGCAGAAAAACACTTCCTTTGATATTTGTACTAGAACACCAAGCTGAAGTCCAGGGGCTCCTGTAAACTACACACTCATTTATTGGTGTGTGGTAACAAAAACGTCTCCTGTCTCCACTCAGGTGTTGAAAAGTCTCAGACTGATACAGAAACACACAGACAGTCTGGGCACGGTGGTTGCGGCCGCCGCTGCTGGAACAGTAAAAGGATTACTTACAGAAAACCTATAATCTATCTGGCAAGCAGAGGTGTAGGTGTGTGTGTGTGTGTGTGTCTGTGTGTGTGTGTGTGACTGTGCTTGTTTATGTGGTATACTTGGAAGCCAAGCACAGTAGGCCAGCAATGAAATCAGTGAAATCAGACTGTCTGCATCTCCTTCTACTGTAATTTTCCCTAAATAGCAGTGATGTCATGTAAGTGGTAGCGTGCTGCTGGCGGCTGCGGGCAGCACCGAGCCACAGCATCCAGGCCATGTTTGTCTAGTAAGGCTACGCTGTTGGGGCTGGTGGTGGAGGGGGGCCAGGCGTGAGGCCAGCGGCGGCTGATGATAATAGAGGGGAAGTGGATGTGGTGGGTTTAATCACACACTCTAAGGGGAGAACACTAAGTCTCTGCTTGTGACTGATGCTGCCACTCTGCCTTGTCGAAGCTTTTACTTTTCTTTTTGGTTCTCTGGATCTTCTTAAGGGAGCTATTCACCTTTCTGCTGTCCTCTAAACTTCTCATTTGTGTTCCTGCTTCTCTTTTCTTTTCCTGCGTTTTTGCCTCTCATCCGCTTTTTCTCTTCATCTTTCCCCTTGACAGCAAAGCGGGGTTTCATGTGTCTTGTAGCTGAGAGTCTTATTCATCACAGCCAGCTGAAGAGCCCACTGAGAAAACCAGTGTGGCGTTAAACCGAGCCAGTGGTCTGGTCAAAGGGAACCACATGTGCTCCTCACAACCCTTCACTGACACACACAAGCGCACACACAAAGCTTGACACAGTCCAGATCGCAGCACGACCAGGACTGCAGCCCCACCAGAGAAGAAGAGCTGTTCTGGGTTGGTTATAAGGAGCGCCGGCGCTCAGTGAGCTCTGGTGTTCTGCCTTCAGGTGAACCACTCAGACGTTTGTCAGCAAACATCACAGAAAGTTGCAGCAGTTTCTCCATGCATTAGTCAACTTTTTTTTTTTTTAAATGGAAGTTAATGCAAATTAGGAAAGTCTAAGTAGCAGCAGCTGTGACTTATTGCCCTCTTGTACAATCAAATGGTCATGTCAGGAACTCGCAGAGTTTTGCGGTGATTACTAAGGCTCAGAATGACGGGATTTTGAAGAGAATGGGGTGAAATCTGTGACCTCTCGAAATGGTTTGCTGAGTGATGCGCAGTGGGGCCGATTACATGGATTTGCTTAGGAGTGGGTTTGTTGAAGCCACAGTCTGATGTTATGCGACTGGAGCTTTAAGCTGTGGTCCCAGATTGGATTTTTTTTTCTGACAAGTTCTGTAATTGGAGAAATTTACATGACATCTTTTGAGTTTAAAAAAAAAAGTGAATTCTGGAAAAAGTTTTGATTGGGTTTGTGTAAATTCTGGCAAGATTCTTGTAAGGATGAAGGAAAAAAAGACATTTTTTAAATGGCTGTTGAACTTCACTTTGTCTCACTGCAGTACAATGAGCAAAAAAAAAAAAACACTTAATGATCAAAACAACCACATAATAGATGGAAAATAGGACTGGGCTGCTAGTTATGCAATACAGTTAGCAAGAGTATTGCTAAGACACACTAAAATCCAGACACAGCATCCACACATACCATGGTTAATGGTAACCACTGTTCAGTGTTTGGTGCCTCTGGATTAATGGACCAAAGAAACAAGCCTATAAAAGCACAGTCAAGGAAGGGTCTGTTTCACGCACTAAAAACAAAACTAACAGTGTGATGGAAATTCAACATTTTACCTTTATAGGTTTCACTATGCTTTACTGCTGACAGTAAGTATGTTATTCTTTGGCATATTTTGTATTTTTAACTGTGTGCTCTCTTGTGTGAAGGTTCGGGGCTCATCCACTCCTGTTTGCGCTGCCTTATCTCGTCTTTTGAAGGCCGACGCAAATAATTCTGTGGGGGCCTTGGAGCGCCTCATTAATGCAACACTTAAGGAAAACCATTAGAGACTGACCTTCACCGTTTTTCCTTCTGTTGGGAGGAGTATGACAGACAAACCTACCTATAACATGCAGTGTGACTTTATACAGATCCCATAAAAAGTATTCAGGTCCCTTGGAAATTTTCCCCTTTTATTGCTTTTCAACTGTGAATAGCGGAAAACAGATTCCTACAAATGAATGTCAAATTATTATAAAATATAAAACTCAAATAAAGTAAAATAAAATAAGTGATTGCATAAGTATTCATCCCCCCTTCAAGTCAGTATTTAGTCGATGCACCTTTGGCTGAATGTGGATAGGTCTCAATCAGCCTTGCACATCTGGACACTGCAACTAGATGCCATTCTTCTTTGTAAAACTCCTTAAGCTTTGTCAGCTTGCACAGAAATCATAAGTTTAACAGCCTTGTTCAAGTCCAGCCACATTCTCAATTGGGTTGCGGTCTGGGGTCTGACTCAGCCACTCCACAACATTCACCTTGTTGTCTTGTTGCTTCAGGTCATTATCCTGCTGGAAATAAAATCTTCCCCCAAGTACCAGTTCTCTTGCAGACTGCATCAGGTTGTCCTTCAGGATTTACCTTTATTTTGCTGCATCCATTTCACCCTCTAGCTTTACATGCCTTCCAGGGCCTGCTGCTGAGAAGCAGCCTAACATCATGATGCTGCCACCACCATGCTTCACAGTGGGGATATTGTGCGATGACGTGCATTGCTCACATGCTCAGTTTTGGCCTCATCAGACCAAAGAACCTTCTTCTAATTGACTTCAGGGTCTCCCACATGCCTTCTGGTGAACTAGTTGAGATTTGGTATGAGCTTTTGCTCAGTCACGCGGGAGGAGCTGGGAGTCGAGCCGCTGCTCCTCCACATTGAAAGGAGCCAGTTGAGGTGGCTCGGGCATCTTTTCCGGATGCCTCCTGGACGCCTCCCTGGGGAGGTGTTCCGGGTGCGTCCCACCGGAAGGAGACCTCGGGGAAGACCCAGGACACGCTGGAGGGACTATGTCTCCCAGTTGGCCTGGGAACGCCTAGGGGTCCCCCCGGAAGAGCTGGGGGAGGTGTGTGCGGATCGGGAAGTCTGGGCAGCTTTGCTAAGGCCTCCGCGACCCGACTCCGGATAAGCGGGAGAAGATAAATGGATGGATGGATGGACTTTCTCTTTGCTACTCTCCCTTAAAACTGTGGCTGGTGAAAAACTGCTGTCGCTCTCATCTGAGCCACTGAAGCTTGAAACTCCTTTAGAGGAGTCATAGTGTCTTGGTGGCCTCCCTCACTGGTACATTCACAAAGAAGAGTCATGCAGTTTTTGAGGGTGACCTGCTTTAGTCAGATTTACGTACGTGTCATACTCCTTTTTCTTAATGATGGACTTCACTGTACTCCAAAGGTTATTCATTGACTTGGATGTTTTATTTTATTCATTCCCTCACTTATGCTTTTCAATAGCCTTTTAATGGAGTTGCTTGTAGTGTTATTTTGTCTTCATGGTGTAGGTAGAGCCAGGAGAAGTGACTCACCAGCGACTGGGCCTTCCAGATACAGCTGTCTTTATGCTATAATCACGTCACAAACATTCACGGCACTCTGATGACCTCCATTTCACTAATTGGTAACTTCTAGCACTAATGGACTGCTCCTGTGTTGAATTAAGTGAGTCACCCTAAATGAGGTAAATACAAATGCAATCACTTGTTTTACATGTTCTGTTTTTAATGAATTGATGACTTTGTGGAAACTTACTTTCTTGTTTGTTCTTGTCAAAAAAAGTTAGATGAAATTCACCTTGATTCAAAGTTGAAAAGCAATTAAATGGGAAAACTTCCAAGGCTTTGTGAATACTTTCGATAAGCACTGTATGACTTTTTGGAAGCCCCACATGCATATATATGGTTTATTACAACAAATCTCTCTGATGTAAAAGAATTAACTTTTTGTAGTATTTCAATAATGATAAACATACTGGAATGGCTTCATTTTTATCTTTAGCTATGTGAAATTTACTAACCAATGACCATAAAAATGTATCATAAATTACCAGAAGGATAGACTGGATGACTGGGGGGTTGCAGTTTACTTGCAGCATATAGAGGTAACATGCAGCAACAACAACAACAACAAAAAAAAGGAATAAAGACAAACTATCAACAAAGGAGATCAGGAAAACAGAAGCTCCACAGACCTTAGTGATGGCGAGGGCACATGCTTGTCCCCAAATCTCTATCAGCTGCTGCTGTCCGAACCTGTAGTCTCTCAGTAGTTCTGTCTCGATAGCTGCAGCCTCCCCTTTACTGACAGACAAGAAAAGACAGAGGTTTCATGTTTGTTATTCATCATCATCAATGAAAACATATGCAGTATAGCAGTCAGTGAAGCTGTTCAGGGAGAAAATTAGGCAGCGCTACATATGTGACAAGCCGCCGCTGGACTTCCTCAAGAAATATGTAATTGAAAGGCTTTACATGTTATTCAGCTGTGTATTGTATGTTCCCCTCATGTGCCTCAGTGAGATCAAATTTGTGTTTTATTGGGAACAGTCATTTCGAGGTCAGCTCAGCTTGGTTGAGCGTCCACTTTCATTAACAAGTTTTATTCTTTTGCAATGATGAATGAAAAATGACCTTTTATTAATGCTATAACTTGCTCCTTGCTCCCTTACAGCACTGTATCAGAGATTTAAAATGCTCAGGAGGACATGGTAGAAATGATTCATTATTGAAACGTGATTAAAAATACAACACCATACCGCATAATGTGATAAAAAAAAAAAAAAAAGACATTTGCAAGAATTTGTCTATTTGCATGCCTGCAGGTGATTGTCACACACTGCGTCTGCAGAAACAAGTGAGGGGCCTCCAGGTTTTTAAGAGTTCCAGGTCGACAAGTCAAGGTTTCCTCATAAAAAGCCCTAACAGCTTCTGGGAAACGTCGTCATGCAACTCAAAATAGGAACATGTGATCGATTAGCCGGCCTTTACTGTAGCTTGCACGTGCCCGTTTGTGCTGGGCAGGTGCGAACGGAGCCGCACGTTGATGCATTTGTCGATATATATCTGTGATGTAACGTTCCCACATGTTCTCTTTGAGCTGATTGCTACTTTGCTTCCTCTGGCTGCTGGCTGCATGGTGACAGAATGACATAATGCTGCCGTGTTGGAGCCTGCTGCTTTTAGCATGGAGGTGTTAGCGTGTGGGTGTGTTTCATGTTCATATGTCTCAGCGGGGACTTTAACCTGACTGCACACTAACCTGTGGGGACTTGTGACACTGTGGAGGCAAAAGAAAATTGAGGCTCCTGTGGGTAGTGGCTGCTTTTTAAGGGGTTAAGACTTGGTTTTAGGGTTAAGATTTAGGTTAGGGTTGGGATTAGTCATACAGTTGTGACGGTTATGGGTAGAATTAGAAGCTGAATAAGGGATTTTGTGAATGAATGACCCCCACAGGGATAGAGAACCCGGTTTGGGTGTGTGCTCATGTCTGACAAATGTGTCTCTTGAGTGTGAAGAGCAGGAAAAATCCAAGCAAAAATCATTACAGTTGAGTCTGTGTTTGAGATCTCCTTCTGTAAACTAGGCTACATCTCTATTACTCTACAGACACCTGGTGGTTTTCCTCAGTACTGCCGCTCAGAAAAGAAAAAAAACTCTAGCTGATGAAACACTTTTGGGTAGAAGTCCAGCTGGATGCCTGGAATTTTTCCAAATTTAATGTATTTCAATAGACATGCGAGAGAACGCCACAGCAGAAACAACTTGATGTGGATTCAAATGTTATTAAAACACACTAAATATTGTTTTTTAAAAGCAGTTCATCACGTTACGCCCAGTGGAAACCGATGAGAACAAATGAGATGTGGGTCGATGCGAAAAAAGTCGATGATGTGCGTCTAATCAGCACTGACTCAACAGGGTAGCTCCGCTCAGCTTCACATCTTTACCTCTCAGTGGAGATCAAGAACTCTTTGTGCAAGTGAAAGAGAACTGTATATGTGTGTGTGTGTGTGCGTATTTCTTTGTGTTACATCATTTGTGCTTTTTCGTGTTACATCATGTGTAAAAATAAATAAATAAATTTAAAAAACAACAGGAGGAAGCTGCAAAGATATGACACACCAAACACTGACATCTACTGTACAGAAAGTTCAACCAGCACATGTAATGGATTCATAATATTAGTCATTAACAACATGCACACAAAACAACAGATCAACCTAATGAAAGCATTTGTTGTAAACGGTGTCGGATAGTTCTATAGAGATCGTCATTTATTTGACTATTCAAATGATAAATCATTATTGTTACTGACTGTAATGGAGCAGTGTTGGTTCTTTATGCAGTAATAACGTTGCGTAATGAAGCTGCCTCACAACTGTTATTCACTTCCATCCATTTTCCAGAGAAGCCGGATGCAGCTTCTATTATTGCTCTGTTTGTGTCGAACAGCAACAATGACGGACTGTATCTGAACCTCTGGGTTACTCTGTGTCCTTGCAGCAAATGAGTGTAGTATTATGCATGTTTACGTCAGTCTCATGCATCTATAAAGAGAACAAGGTGTACACATCAGTGACTAATGCTAAGCCTGCCTGTGTGACTTTTAGGTTCTTATAAGACACAGCAGTACATGTGCATGTGTGTGTGTGTGTGTGTGTGTGTGTGCACATGTGTGTGGGCGCTTGTGTGTCGGCAAGCTAGCGTATCCAAGTGGGGCTTCTGGCATTTACCTGTGCCAGTGGAGCGGCAGCAGCTGTCACCCACGGCTCACCTCAGGGATGTTTCCTGAGTCACTGTGACAAGTTGATCTTTAGAAAGTTCACCTCAGTCCACAGGGTTCGCTCTGTGTTTTTGCTCTACCTGACAGACCCAGAACATCTCACAGTTGTGTTGAGCCAAATTGATTCTGCATGAAGATGGGCTAATTTAGCTGTTTGTCTTTGAAAGAGAAAGCGGGATATAATCCAGTCTGAGTAATGAAAAAAAAAATAAAAATAGGTGCTTCTCTACATGGGTGGAGAAGTCTGAGCTCAGGACTGATGCGATCGCAGTAACAGCACTGCTGCTGCTGCTGCTGCTGAACAGGCAATTACTATTGATCCTTAACAGCACTGACAGAACAAAGTGCTGTGGGTGTGCAGCTCAACAGCTGGTTTTAGCTGGGAGGCTCTACCACGCAGGACGGACAGACCAAAGACAGATGGCTGCTTCACGCCACATACTGCAGGTCTGATCATGCTTATTAATTATCCTAATCATGCATTTATTCACCTGAAGCCACTGGAGTGCATTAGAAATCTCTATGTAATCAGTGAGTTTCCATTTTAAAGAAAGTGTTGCCGTTAAACTGCTTCTTAAATAAAGCATGAGTGCAAATGTAAGTCAGTTCTGATTGAAAAAAAAAATAGACGTGTTTGTGCTGCATGTACAGTGTAGCTGCAGAAAAGAAAAAAAGAAAAAACACGGCTTATTAGTCATAGAGCTTCTGTTGCACCTGTAGCCACAGTCATGCAGCCTCTCCCTAGAGGGAAAGTTGATTTCCCCATGCTGAGTGCGATGTGCTCCTGTGGTGTGTCACCTTCAGTGCAGCACTGCTCAACTATGATCACAACCTGCTTAATGAGTCTGTTTACCTTACACATGAGATAAGGTGAAATCAAACTTTAATGGCCCCTGCAGGGAATTCGGGACAGTGCAGCAGCAAATGGCGGGAGCATGTGCAGCAAAAGATTTTTTTAAAAAACAAACAAAAAGGGATTTAAATAATAATGGAGAAGTTGGGAAAAACCTTAAAGTTATAACACATGAATAAATGATAACATGTTGATGAAAGTGTGGCAATTAAAGTATGCAAAATAAAAGCAGTTGCTGCACAATCGGAGGTATTTGTTGACAATACTTCAATACACAGATGTACATGCCTGATGTAATGACTCTTATGTAGAAAATACTCCATGAACAGGAACAAAACCTTTTAGATATAATGCAATCCAATGCAGCAGTACTGATACAATGACTGTGTTCAAAGCAGCACACAAATATACAAATGTTATCCTTTAATACCAGCCAATGAAAAACACGTAAACAATATGTTTCTGTGTGCAGCCTCCAGCTGGAAACCATCTCTCTATCATATAAGAGATGAATACTGTGCTGAAAATCTAAAGGGCTTCTATTTTTCTAATGCTGGAAGCCTGAAATAGCCACATTTCACCACCTCCTCCCTCTCAGTTTGCCTAATTTCCACCTGATCTGCTGGTGAGATAAGGAGGCCGGTTATGGATGGAAGTGGCAGGCTGTGAAACATGTGAGACACACACTGATGATGTCTATTCTGTTCTGCAAAAATAGTAAAGTTGGCACATAGTATGTTAAGAGCACTGTTTTTAAGAAGACATCTCACATTGCCAGCAGCTTTGTTATTCCATTGGTGGTGTCTACTGCTGGTCACATTGGAAATGGTATCTATTCCAGTTTTGTTTAAAGGTGAAGTACGCAGTATTTTTGTGGCATCACTGGCCAATATTCCATTATAACCTCTCAGCATATTGCAACCAAGTGATCTTAGAGAAAACTAGACTTATGCCTCTCCCCTTTGCTTTCAGGCTTTTGAAACTGTAGCCTGTGATGGACGATCTCAGCCAATCACGGGCCTCTTAATCCAGAGCAGATGAGACAGTATCACAGCAACGCTATTCCTATTCCTGAGGGAGAGCCGGATGTGGTGGTGCACTGAGTGAGACGGAGGATTTTAACTCAGGAGAGTGGGGATTTGACTCTTGGGTGACGCCACAAATCAATGTTGACCTTTAGCTTTATTAACTTTGCACATTTAACGCACATGTTCCTCTGGTGGGAGGGTGAGGGGAGATGGAGGAGCTGCAGGAGGAGGATGTGTGTTTTTAAATTCTGGTGCTTCTTTCGTCTTTTCCAGATGTTGCCGACTGCAGTTTGATTCCAACTGAAAGATCTAAAGATCCGCTTTGAGATGAGTTGCTGCGACATTTTAAAATCTAATGACTTTTGTGATTCCGTTTCTTTTCGTGCCACCGTGAGAGTTTTGGTTGTGGTCAAAGCACGTTCCACATGAATGAAGCTGAGAGCTGGGCACTAATAAATGAATGTTAAAATGTTAAAAGAGGACAGTGAACATGTTAAACACTATACTCAGTAAAGATCAGCGTGTTAGCATTGGAGCCCCAAAAGTTTTGTTCCTGTACAACTACAGTGCGTTCTCAAATTAAATTCAGATTTGTCAGATTTATTAATTTATTTGGGAAAACATGGATTTGAGTTTGGCGGTGACTCTGCTCAAGTGATGCTCTGGAACAATCTGAGCAAGCATGACACAGATAGTCCCTGAGATCACAACCCACTCCGGTAGAGCCCTAAATTCACAATGTTCAAATAAATACAGTATGAACACAAGAATAAGGAGACCAACTTAAATCGTCCTCACTTTACAATGTACAATAAAAAAAAAATCTGCATCCTGCATCACGCAATATGGGAAACAACCGGAGTTATGAAATTGCACTTTTAAAAGGGAGGTGGTTGGAGAGGAGGAGGGGATTTGTCAGTCTGTAGAGGCTGGTGTAGCAGAATGAATGAAGTTATGAAGCACACTAAGTGGGTGGGCTGGACTTAAGCAGTGAACGATTGGACAGAAAGGGCCTTGTGACGCCCTGACTCCGTGCCTGTCTGAACTAAAGCATAAGCTCTATATGTTTTGAGGGAAACGTATTTTCTGCCTGATTA